CGCGGTGGTTGACGTAAGTGCCAATCTTATCGCTACTGTAGCACCGGGGACCTTGCAGGCGATCAAGTCCGTAGAATATGTCCGCGCGGCTGAGAACAAACTGCGATCTATCGGCGCGGAGATGTTCTACGGTCTTGAACGGCTACAATTCGTGAACCTGGAAGGTAACAGAATCTCCCACATTGCTGCGGGCGCATTCCACTCAAACAAGCCAATGGCTTCTCTAAATCTGGCGAGAAACCGACTGACCTTCCTGTCTGGTGGTTGGTTCAAATCGTTATTTCCAAACCAAGTCAACATGCGTGGAAATACGATTGCCGCCATGGCGCTGGAAGGTCGGGAGCAGAAATTCATGCTTGTCTCACTGGACAACCCGCCGCGCTGTACGTGTGCGAACGATTGGCTGTACAACCCCGAGGGGCTGAGCAAGTTCAAGTTTAAGAGGCGTTACGCCAGGGTAATGCGGATCCCCCCGACAGCAAGCTGCCCCGCCTCGCCGTTGATGCCAAACCCTCCCGCTCCGGTCAATCCCGACGGATTGCCCTGCCCTGTACCGCTGGTCGAGGTTACGCATGTTGAGCGCAGCGCCGCGTACAAGTACGAGGCCGCTGGCGACGTGTATTGGGAGCAATTGCCTACAGTGACCTTTGCCTTCCCTGGCGGCTCACACCACAGACTCGACATAACATACGGCACAAACACGACAACACACGACAGTCTCCTGACAGGCAACGTAACCGTGGAAGTGGTGACCGATCTAAAGGCTGAGGGCTGGGTGAAATGTAAGGGACCAGAAAACCTGTTCGGGGAAACAGGAAATCGCAGCCTGTGTTCTAACTACATGGGGAGGTCCAGCTTCACCATTTGGCTTGAGACCGCCGAGCCCTTGTCCTTTGGGAACACCACTTGTACGGCTTCTTCGGAAACTGGCTCCGACACTGCCGTCTTTGCGGCGAGCGCGCGAGCACACTCTGACATGGCAACACTGACAGCAACCGAACTGACACTCCTCAACACGACACCATTCTCAGTCAGCATCAGCACTACACCGATGCCCAGTGGCATCAGCACTACACCGCTGGCTACTAGCACGAGCGATGATGTACATCTAACGTGGTACATCGTGTGGGCAGCTCTGGGCGGGTTGTCGGCTGCTGCGGTAGGGGTTTGGGTATGTGCCATGGCCAGTTGTATCAAGCAGAAGCTCAAGCGCAATGTCCCCGATAACGGTGCAGGTCCATCCCGCAATGGCAACCAGGTCGCTGCCTGCTCCATGTGGCCCCTTCCAGGTGGCAACTCGGAGGAGTCAGTGATCAGTCCGTACGCTGAGGGGCGTTTGGAGGATCACGACAGCTTGAATGAGTCAGAGTCTGTCATCAGCCCTTACGCTGAGGGTGGTTTCAATGACCACCCTGACTTGCGAAGGGCCGAATCTTCGCAGTCAGAAATCACCCCGTACGGGCTGGCTAAGCTGTGCCCAGCGTACCGCGCGGCAAGCCGCCCCCGCGCGCACACACACCCCGTGCCGTCCCGCCCGTACAGCACCGAGCGCCCCCGTCAGAAACCAAACAGGGCCCTGGCCGTCCTGGCTGCCTATGGCCGAAATGGTCGCGACAAGTCCGACCAAAGCTGCTACAAACATCCCTCCATTCTCCCCAACATCGGTACCACTAAGTCCTCTGCCTACCAGCAGAATGCCAGCGCCGCCCAGCGTGCCCGCAAGGCACCTTGCTACAACTCCCCTGCCCTGGCCACCGACCTAAAGCGTACCCTGTCCAACACATATGACCAGCATGACCCTAGCGAGGCAGTCTGCAACTCCGCAGCGTCCCCCGCGGCCAATACCTACCAGCCCGTCGCCTCGCCTGGTAGTGAGACCGGTACTCAGTCCGCCATGTATGATGAAAACCATCCTAGCCAGGCCGCCACCGGTGGGGCAAACAGGTATGTCTGTCCCTCCCCTGCGGCCTGTGCTGGCGGGTCTCGGGCGGCTGCCTACTGCCAGAATGACCGCAGAGAGGCAGTAAACAACACCGCAGAAAACCCCGAGACACACAGCTATGAACCGGCGTCCGCCAACTCTCAGATTCAGTGAGAACAAAAGGAAGGAAATAACAGGAAATTCGGCCCGACATCTTTTATTGTTTATTGAACATTTGGACATAATCACTCGCCTAAATTTCAAATTTGATAATTACCACCTCAACCCGCCTCAAAATGTGTCACATCTCTGTGAATCAGCTTTTGACTGAAAGTTGTCAACAGAAATACCAACCTTTTTGCTCGTGGTAAGAAACAAATTTAAGAAAACATATGGCTTTATTGTTATTTCTTATAGAAAAAAAAACACCAACATTCTGTAATGATATTTCGCCACACAGCCAGAGCAACATGCTACCTCCAGACGTTGTGGATGGATTTTGATATTTGGTATGTTGGAAGGTGTTTTAGTTTGAGACTTTGAAGGAGAGAAATACTTAAAGGGGTTGTTATTATGACTTTTGGTATCCAGATTGTTGAAGGGATGATTCACATAATTAGTTGCTAATAATACAAAAAACAGGGAGCATAATTTGCATGATTGACGACAAAATTTACTAAATTCTATGAATGAGGTCCTAAATAGGACTTTCTTTATTTGTTGATTTCCTTTGTTCCCTTAAAAACATATTAAAATCGGACAAACCTTCATCCAATTGACGTAGAAAATATCAGAGATTGCATATGGTAGAGGCCAAAGTCATAGAAACAAAAGTTGGTGTCTTCTTGACTCTCAAAATGATATCCCATGAAAAGTGAAAAGAAAAAGACACATTTAAATTTCCAAAATTGATCAATGAATGAATGATAGAAAATGTTTTATTCCTGTCCATGCTAAAGACGTCAAAATCAGACAAACTTGCATACATGCAATTGTACATATATATATACTACATATTGGAAATGTGCATGTATGCAAGGAGCAGGGACATTCTACAACAGAATGTCCTTGTGATCGAAGCTCCTTGTAGAATGTCCTTGATGTATGTTACCAATCTGTATCTGCTTGGAAATGTTTGCCCCTAAATTAAGAATTTTTTACATACGTCGAACAAAATTGGACAGCCCTCTGAGGGACGCAAATATGGTCGTGATGGTTTTCTCCTTAGTTTTTAGTGTTCCTTTTCGAATGGCTGTTCCCAGAATTGCATCCCGGCTGTAGACAACCTGGTGTTAGGCGGTTGGGGCGGGTTTTCTTCGGGGCTACTGAAGCTCTTTCCCGCCTGCCTGAGCTAGGTTTCCCGGTAGATTCTGCAAGACGGGAATTTGATTACTAGTATCCCCACCACGCCAATCAACTCCCGGTGTGCCAAACTGCTAATATCACGGGCGTAACAATCCTACCGGGCGGTCTGTTGAGCTGAGCGGGGGTAAATTATTACAGCCCCAAAGACAGTCTGCCCCAACTCACGATAGACGGGATACCAGCCTATATATAGGCTGTAGAGAGTGTTGCTGCAATTGCTAATTCTAGCAACACTTTCCTAGAATAAATGTAGCAATTTTCTAAGATGGAAATCACGAAGGAGGAAAGCAGGACTTCTAACCATTTCATGTATATATGAGTGGTATTTACAATATCTGTATGAATTATTCTAGTTTTTTTGTTATCAAAGAAAAAACATACAATTTATACCATGAAAATATAGAGGTTTGAATGTCTCAAACAGAACATAGTGCCACAATACTCCTTCCTGGTCATGACGATATGTAACTAAGTAATTTCAAACAAATATCGAATGATAATGCACATCATGAACAGATCAGAATGCTGGTGGTGTCAATCCATCTGTAAAAAGATGTTAGGTTGTGCTGAAATGATAACTAATAGAATAAACATAATGTATTCCTTGCCACCTAGTGTGTAATGGCAGTGCACATCTTACGTTAGACTTATAGTTGATTGCTAAACTGAAAAGGAACGTTCTGAAAATTCAGAACTTTTTGGGAATAGGTGCACTGGTTCACCCAACCTAAAAAACTTGGTGCACAAAAATACTTTAGGTGCACCATATAAGATAAAATAAGTAGAATATGAGCAAAAACTAATTATGTTTCATTTCTAAAGAAAGGTACATGTACTAAGGTACATTTATAATATAAGGTCTAAAGAAATGTATAACAATTAAATCATTTTTCTGACAATAGTAGAATATGCTGTATACTATAGATTACATGTATAAAAGTACTAATGAGGTTCTTGATCTGAAAGTGCCGATGGTAAAGCTGAACGTGTAACACATGACTGTAGTCAGAAACTGTTGTTATCTACACACTGTTGAAGATAAAAGTAAATGTAACGTTAACTTTACATCGTCATAGACATGATTGAAACAGAAATGTTCTAGGCCATGTTGATAGCCTATCCGTAGAAATTATATCTTACATGGATGGAATCTTAGTTCTGTTCTTAATCTGCTTGTTTTAACACAAGAGAGTTAAAGACATCCAGTGCAGTTTTAGGGCTTGGAAACCCGATTTTTTTTGAAGTCAATATTCTAGCCATTTATCTACATACTGAGTTGAAACCACAATGAAATTCCAATGTATAATGACCCTCATGGAATGGAGCAAACATTCCCAAAATTCGGACGGAAAATGGTTACTGGAAGGGCCCTGGGCTGATTATTAGGGTAACACCCAGAAAATAAAGGAATCACATAGGGGCTTGTTTCTGTAGTACATGTATTAAAAGCCCAAAGTATAACGTGCTAATGTGCTAATGTGAAGCAGTGTGTGTCAATATAACAAAGATTGCCTTATTCAGAAAATTTCCAGTTTTGTTGCCCTGAAATCGTATTTGGATGCCTTTAAGAAGATTTTCACATATTTTGGACACGAGACAAAGCATACCGATTCCTCAACATCCCAATTCCTATGGCGGGTTTGTCGGGCAACAACCCAACATCTGCTTGAAGATAGCGTCTGGGCGTGGCGAAAGGTCAAAGTTCGCCCAGAGGTCTAGGCGGGAGAATCAAAGATGGCGTCCAAACGGAGTCTGTACAAACCCGCTCCGGAGGAGAGAGGTCCTGGGACTAAACACAGGAGGTAAGGAGGCATCTACAAATACACACGAGGGCCACTGGCTATAGTAGAGACTCTTAGCAAGACGTGATGTTTTTTACACCGTCTTCTTGAGATTCTAGATCGGTGGGAAAGAGGGGAGCTGGAGCTTGCAAGGCATATTTTCCTTCATGCATGTTTTTTTGGGTAGCAGGTCGTTTCCCCCCCATGCCTTTTCCCCATGCCATGTTTTTTTGCACCGTTTTCTTGCAAGAGATTTTGGATCGGCACTCTAGGTAGACTAGGGGTGCTTGCAAGTTCTGAACTTCTATGTCTATTCCTTTCATGCAAAATTATGGCGATAGTAGAAACATAGAGAGACTCTTTGCACCGTTTTCTTGCAAGAGATTTTGGATCGGCACTCTAGGTAGACTAGGGGTGCTTGCAAGTTCTGAACTTCTATGTCTATTCCTTTCATGCAAAATTATGGCGATAGTAGAAACATAGAGAGACTCTTTGCACCGCTTTCTTGCAAACTTTTATTGCGATTTTGGATTGGTAGGGATGCTTGGAGGGGTGCTTGCAAGTTCTGTGTGTATTCCTTTCAAAAGTTCCATGCAAAATTATGGCGATAGTAGTAGAAACTAGAGACTCTTAACAAGAAATAAGGTTTTTTTTGCACCGTTCTCTTTAGATTTTACCGGTAGGGAACGAGGGGAGCTTGCAAGTTCTCTATGTATTTTCTTGATGCAAAATTTTATGACGATAGTAGAGACTCATGTAACGTTCACGTCAACGTTAGTGCTTATTTTACAACTGCATGTATTTTTCATGTCTATGTTCTGTAGACCCCTGGCACAAGGTCGTCTGGCTACAGCTGAACCGGCCACAGCTGCCCCGAATGTACCACAGGAGCAACTTGCACAAGGTAAAACATTTTTAAGCCTAAAGCACGCACAGACCTCGAAATTAATAACGTTTCTTCCTATTGTCCCAGCACTTTCCCAAAAATAAATTTCAGTTGTCCCAAAGTGAGGATGAACTGTCCCAACCTGTTTTTTTTGGGAAGAAGTTAAGCAATTTTTTATAATTACAGAGTAGACAGGAAATTCAGGGGGACTCTTTCGGACCCAAAAGCCGGGACATGTGTCCGATAAACAGAAGAAGGGCTGACATTCCCGCATTCTGATGTTGATCATTTTTCTATTGTCCCAAAGTTTCTTTTTAGTTGTCCCATCCTTAATTTTATTATTGGTCAGTGGGCCATTGGACCACCCTTACTTTTGAGCCCAGATGCAGGACTCGAAAATCATATACCTTTTGCTGCATAACTGCTCTGGTGCAGGTAGCATTGAAAATTACTTGCACCAGACAAATTATACCTGTACCACTACCACTCAGATTATATTTTGTATTCTTTATCTAAAGTAATGATACATTTTCGTTTGTGCAGTTAAGAAAAAAAAACACACACACAAAATGAAAAGGCTATACTTTTTGATACTTTTTTTCTGTTTTTCAGCTCAGACTGCAGGCTTAAGAGATACTCTGGACGTCACAAGAGGAGCGTTGTCATACAGACAGTCAGGAGCAGTCCCAGATGAAACCATCGGAGAAGATATCTCCAGCACACCCAGGAAGTATGTCAAGTCTGACAATGGTTTATTCTCAAGTCTCAGAGAGACAAATGATGAAGAAATTTTGTATGACAGGTTTCAACACTCAGTTGATGTGTTTATTCACATTTGTACAACTTAGTTAGAGCATTCCAGTCATAAAATATAACCTTACAAATTTCCACCTCAATTATACTGTAGCATCCAGTCCACAATTAATGCCACATTTCTGTGCACAGTTTTACAGTTGAAATGGTTATGGATCACTGTGACTACTGACTACTGTATGAATGGAATCTATATATTCCAAAATCATACCCAGTTGCTTGTCTGACTGTTTTTTTTTGGCATATATGTACATTGTACCTGCCTACCTCCTGGTCATTTGAGGGACAAGGTACATGTAGATGTGAGGATGGACAGCTGTCTCCAGGCCTGTCTGTCTAATCTACAAATAGGACATACTAAATAGTAGTAGCCACAGTGTCAGTCGTTGTGAGTGTAAGATCAACTTCAAAATATTGTAATCTAATGCTAAATAATGCTACTCCCACCATGAAATATTACACTAGACTTTGTTGTCTAATACGGTGTTTGTCATAACACACTGAGATGTTCTCATTAATCTGATGAGCCTATTGTACCCCTCTGTCACCTATCCAGGAATCCCCCCAGAGGCAGCATGTCCCCCGCCCGCCCCAAGCCCACCCTGACAGATGAGCTGGCAGTGTCAGACCTGGAGTCCTCCAGCGGGGGAAACGGCTCAACACAGGTGACTGTACATGTTTTCCTAACATTCTATACACATGGGGTAGGTAGGTTTAATGCTGGGGTATTAACCCATCTGAGGTTGTACCAAACTTGTATTGGTTATTGGGTAGGGCTCGAAATACTGGGTGCATGTGCACCTTAGTGACCCAAATTGGAGCTGTGCACCCAATTTTTTCTGTGGGTGCACTGGTGCACCTAAATATTCATGTAGGTATTTTGTACATATATTAAATGTATAATAGTTACAGGATAATCTTGGCATCTAAGTGTCAGAAAAATAATAAAACCTTTGCCATAGTAGTTTAAGATTTTGAAGTTAGTAGTTGAAGATTTTGAAGTTAGCTCCCATTTTAGATTCAAGCTCAAAAGAGGAGCAGTAAGATCTGTAATTAAGTTTTATCTTATATGGTGCACCCAAAAAATTTTCTGTGCACCTAATTTTTTAGGTTGCATGCACCAGTGCACCTATTCCCAAAAATGAATTTCGAGCCCTGTGGCCGAGTGTGGGGTAAGGCAGCGTGGAGAAGGTTAAAAATAGATGTGGTTTGTTTGTTTGAACCATCTTTTATTCATGAAAGCTCAAATCGGCCTGCAAGCTGCTTTTCATTGAGGTCGTGAAGGGAAGTCAGGTAATGGTCAGGTTTTGAATGTTCTTGCACCCAGACTGTTTGTCAATACAACATAATAGAAAATAACGGTCTGTAGGTTGATTCTATATGTGACAGGCTGACTAAAAAGTAGACCAGGAACTATGCGGCTCCAGATGTCTTACTGAGGGACGACCACAATATGATAGATTGTCAGTTAGCTTGAGGAATGAATCCAATCTACTTTATGATTAATGTTCATGCACCTTTTTTTGAATACAACATAGAAAACAGAAATCTGTATGGTGATTCTTGCAACATACCAATACTGGCAATAGAGGACTGTTGGGTAACCAGATGTTTATGTAATATTTTCTGCCACAGAGTAAAGACTCGGCCCCGGTGTTGTACGTGGATGCCAGTCGAGGTCCCAAGAGTCCAGAGAACACGGAGGTGGACATTGTGACGTCTGTTGTCCAGTCTCCCATCAAGGTGGTGTGTCACACCCCTGCAGCCGTCCAGTCAGACCTCAGGTGGGTTTTCCTTGTCAGCTGTTTTGGTCAAGTTTGGTTTAGGCATATAGTGATGGTAAGTCCTTTGTTTTTGAAGATATCTATGATCTACATGTATCAGTGTCCTCATTCAGTGTGTGTGTCTTTCTTCATGGGCTTCAGAGTCCAAAACTTGAGGCACACAGTTGTCCATGCTGTTGTTATTTTCTTTCTATGACATTTAATATTCAAGTCCATACAGTTGATGTATTTAAAATGTTTTTATGTTTTAACGATCATGTAAGCTTCTTCATGGGGATCCTGTATTCAGGTTTGATTTTGATTCTTTATAGGAGGTAAACAACAAGAGACTGTTAAATTTCTTCCTGTTAAATTTGCAAGGTCTCTTGAACAATCTGAACAGTATAGACACCTCCTACCTCCTTCACGACAGGAAATAAGTGGCAGGAAAACTAGATCATCCCACAAACTGAACAGTATTTACTGTAGAACTGTAAGATATCATAACAGTGCAATACCACACATGGTACGGTTGCTGAACCTGTAAAATGATTAGTCCCTTTCATTTTAATCTGCTTAAGAACGTTTTTATGCTCCGTCAATTTTATCCTGTTCGTAAATGTTTTTAAATATGGTTGAGATACTGGTTGAGATATTGTTTTAATGAATCTCATGGAAACAGCTCCCATGCAATTCACCCTCTGGCTGCCAGGTGGGACTGTCCGTACGTATTGTATATATGTTAATATTTGAATAAACCATTATTAATTAAAAAATTATATCCTCACTGTTAGCAGCAACATGAGCACTATTATTTTTTTTCAGAAATACTGGTGACCCCAGGCAGACTGCAAAGGTCACAGTTGATGCAGTACCGTCCGTGCTGCTAGAGGGGGACACTGACCACACCATGGGTGTGACAGAACTTCAGCAGTCTGTCCCCAGATACAAGATCCCTCTTGTCATCAGAGAAAAGGACATTGCAGGTGTGAATGATATTCTTTAATATCAACTAAAGTAGCATCTAGTACTACAGATGTGACAGGTTTAAAATTGTTCAACTTTAAAGTAGTTGATGGAAAATCTGCTGTATGTATTATATCTTAAAATTTGTAAAGAAAAAAGATTAATTGCATTTGCAAGCTTTCACCTGTAACTTTTGAATGGCCCTGCACGTTCTACCTGCAGTTTTGTTGTAACTCCACAGGAGGCGCTGTTGATCCATTCTCCTCATCGCGTGCCGTGGAGGTTCCTGCAGCAGACACGGACGAGGTGCCAGTCAGGGACACAGACACTCTCTCCACCAGACCAAAAATCAGACAGCAGTCACAACATGGTAAACTGAGGATTCCATAGAGACTAGACTGTTCAGAGACTGTTGAACACTTAAAGCAAAACTTACAATGTAAAGGTGTGGATCTGAAGTCAACTGTAATTGCAAAATGGTGTGATGACATGGTCTGGTCTTTTTAATCTCATTAATTTTTTTTTCTCTCATTTTAGATTCTGTGAAAGATGAAGGAGGTGTATCTGCTGTTAGTGTCACGAATTCACAAAGGTACATTGATTCATATAACATTCTGAATAAATTTCATTGCAAGTTGAAGTTGAGCATTCTATTAAATTTTGTTGATGATACAAGTTTCTTTAAATTGAATAGCAGAGGACATTAATTCAACCTCTCATTGTATCCAGGGAACAGCCAGTGAAGAAGAAAAAGAAACCAAAAGGTACAGAATCAGATACATCATGGAGTTTTCGTTGAAACATTTGCTGCATTGTTATTGACATCCTCTGTTTCTAAATGCAATAGTAGCAGAAATACATTTCAGGGTATAGGGATGATATGTACTAGTATCATATGATAATTCTGTACATATTTTGATTTTATTTGATTTTATTGAAATTGCAACAGTGCAATAAACGCAGAGGCAGCTGTTGCTGGTGTTGTGTCCCTCACATAGAAACGGATACTGGACAGACAATATTCATTTTTACTTGAGTCTAGTGGGGAAAGTCATGTAAAGTGCCTTTCCCAAGGGCACAAGATCAGTGGCATGTCAGGACTTTAGAATTTTATAAAGGCTTTTTCCTGAAACCATCTACTTATGCATCACCTCACAGGTCTATGAGACTATGACAAATTTTGTTCCTCATCCCTACAGGTATCATTGTTGAGTCCCGTTACATGCAGAAGGCCAAAGCTGCTGTACTTCCTGACAAACCCAAGATTGGAAAGGTACCCAAACATGTATTTAAGAATGTATCAACATTCAAATTAAAAAGTTTACTTGAATCATGTATAAAGTCAAATTGTTTCAAAGTACATTGTACACATTATATTATTTATAAGTGCCCTTATGCTCTTGAATATCTATGAATACAAATTCATCAAGTATCTACAACATTCACCTTTTGTGATCATTTTCACCAGAATCAAATTAAGACTCATGATTTGCAGTGAATTCAAACCTTGCTCAGAGGTTACAATTTCTTTGTGTCATACATTTATATGTATACCAAGAAAAGGAGGAAAAGGAAGACATAATACAGCTTGATGTGTTTGATTGTTCTTCTCCAGAGTACACAGTCCTCTGTTCAAACCCCTAAACCAGCCCCCTCCAGAACAACAAGTGCTCCAGCTAAGAGGAAAGTTGCCCAGAGTTCATCCTTCAACAGGTAAGTGAATACATGGACAAGGAAATAATTACATGTATATCAAACTGACATTCAGGGATTTGTTGTAACTGCCATTCACTCATTTACTATCTAGTTTTAGCTTCTATTGTTTGCTGTCTTCAAAAGGTTACACATGCTTGCACAACTGTACATGTATGACAGGTATGAAAAGTGACAAATGAAAGTGGTTTTGATCTATTCGTTTTCTTTGGAATAATTGTTTTATAAACATTTGTCCTTGTAATAGAATAACACTGGCAAATCACAAAAAGTAAAATGATCTTTCTAGCATGCTGATGAAGATTAAACGTCCAGGTAATGAGATACACAGAAAATTGAAACTGGCAGACATTTCAACTTTCAAAAATACCACTACTGGTACTTTTCGTCACTGATGATACATTGTACTTGAAACTTCTGTCAGTTTTCAAAACCTATCCAGTTGCTTGGATAACAATTTCCTGTGGATCTTACTACAACTACATGTACTAATGTTGGTTACCAGGTTCATAACCCTTTGAAGGCAACAATAGTACATGTAGGCTCTATTTTCAGAAATAAAACTGTCCTTAGGCCACAGCAAGTAAATTTTATGGATGACATCCTCCGCAGACTCCAAATCTAATGCGAGCGGGCGAAAAAAAAACAAGGCGGGCCGAAAAAAACAAGGTTCCTACATTTAAAAATTTTGACTGAATCATTGTACAAATGGTTTTGACTCAGTGGGAACATCACATATACACAGCCAGTATCACATATCACTGCATCAAAGTAAGAAACAAAACATTAAATCTGAGTCTTTTCTTGTATCCTCTCTTTATAGTTATCTGACACCCACCCTCCGGCATGGCAACAGACATCTTTGCCCATTTTCGGCATGTTCACCACTGTCAGAAGGCAACAAAATTTCTTTTTTTCTTTTTTCAAAATCAGGCGAAAATCAATGCGCGCGCTGATGTCATCCATAAAAATTACTTGCTATATGGCCTTAGTAGACATGTACATGATTTTTGTATTGTTCATCACATAGAGAGAAATCAGTGAAGAAGGCATCAGAACACGGCTCCACACCTATTATTGCTGGAAGCAAGAGGTCGACGACCTCCACACCTGTTGTGACTGGCAGTAAGAGGGCAGCGTCCACCCCCATGGGTGGGGCACATCCCCACACCCCCTCCATGACCCTGGGGGACATCTCAGCCATCCCCACCGCAGACAGCATACTCGTCGGTCAGACTTCTTCTTCTATAAGGAATGACTGTTTAGAAATAACTTCAAGACACTTCTTGTTATAACAAGTTTCAAAGTTTCATAACACTACATAGGAATGACTGAGATGATGCTTTATACATCCAGCTATAGGTTCTCTAATAAGGGCCACCAGTAACTCTTTTTAGAATTTCACAATTTAAGTTGACTATTTAAAACTTTAAAAAGTTTAAAATTGCTATTCAAGTATTTTTGACATGCTCCATTCTCCTCCCAGCACCCTCTACATCTACTTCCGCATCTAAAGGCAAGCCTAAGAAAAAGGTAGGCTTCTTTTAATCTGTCTTAGTGTCTATTGTGACTGATGACATAGTGACTTGAAATCTATGTGACTATAAACAGATATGCTTGCTATTGTTTGTATGTGCTGAATGATTAACACATAGATATGGCAGGGGGAGTAGTTTTGTTTGCAGGTTTGTTTGTTTGTTGAGATCTGTTTGTTTTCTCCCTGAGCAGGCCAGTAGTACTGAGGTGACCCAACACCAGCTGGACCTGTGGTACATCAGGTACCTACAGTGGCTGTACATCAGCTCTAAGGTGAGAAGCTGTAGTCTACATGTGCATATATCTTCCCTTAGTCACTCACTCACTATCCGGTTTACCGTCTGTTGTTCCCCGACTTCCGTGGGTTAGACGTGCTTGCACGGCAATACTGTGGCTTGATGGCAGCCCACCATTTGCCTCTATCCCATGGGTTGATGTTATCTAGTAGGTTCAAGTGGCAGTCAAACCTTACATTGTCAAACCATTTCTTCTTTGGTCAACCACGAGGGTGTGGGCCTTCCACATCCAGTGTGAGGATCTTCCTGGCCATTTGTTACTGTCCATTCTTTGAAGGTGGCCATACCATCTGCCATAGTGCCATTTTTAACACAATTTGTGTCAGCTAATTTGTAAATGATTCCCCCCAGTGACTCCTCTTTACATTGCAGGGTTAGCATTGTTGACTTCTTTACATGTAATTTTCAGATGGAAAAAGATCTCAAGGAGAAGGAGAAACAATCATCAGTAAGTATTGTCTCTTATACTTGTTCCTAAAACTCCTGGTTGCTTATTGTCTGGAATATCCTAATTAATCGTAAGTAATTTCTTTAAATTGATTTTATGAATCAGCTGTAGGTAAAACATCATTGTCTACATGTAAGTTTTTTTTACTGTTATTTCCTTTTCACATGTTCTAGCAATACTGCTATGCACTGTGGGAGAAGAATGAAGATCTGAGGAAAAAGATCACCGAAGGAAAGCAGCGAATCCACTGTCTGAAGTACCAAAACCTTTTGGACAGACTCCTAAAGCTGCAGGTACAGTTGGAAAGATCTACAAATGTATACATGTATGTAAAGATTTGTTATTCAGGGCTCGAAATACTGTGTGCATAAACATAAACATTGCACCTTAGTGCAGGTAAAATTGGAGCTGTGCAGGTATTTCTGATGTTAACCTACACCTAACCTGCACTGGTCTATGTACTGGGTATATGCAGGTTAGTTCAGGTAAAATTGGAGCTGTGCAGATATTTCTGATGTTTACCTACACCTAACCTGCACTGGTCCAAGTAATGGGTTTATAATTATACATATATGTAGGTATATGTGGATTTTTATTTGCAGCATTGACTGTTACCACCTGAGTATGAAGTATGATAATGGCAATGGTTTCTGAACAGTTTTTTCAATAGATATATGATCCAAAATTCTCATAGGCTGAATGATAATGATGTGGTTCTGGTGCAATTTGATGTACATTGTATTTTCCAGATGATGACAAGCAGAGGTGAATGAAATGGATGGAAAAAAATCATAGGACTATTAGGAGTTTGAAATTCATCCTTTTGAACAGTTGTTCTTTTATAAACCTGTTTGTGTGGCTCCACCTATTGGCAGGAAGCAGCATTGCAGCCACTTGTAGACAGTGCTCCCAAGATGCAACAGGACTACAGTGAGTTTGCCCACGCCTTGGATACCACCAGGCACCACCTAGCAACCATCTCTGTATCTGATGACGTGGATAATGAAGATTATATCAGTAAGTAGCTTTATAACCTTTATGTTCTACATAAAAAAACACACACCTACATTACAAATGTACGTATTCACGTGTTTTACATTGTGCTAGTTACAATTTAGGTAGGTAGGTAGCTACCATTTGATATAAGCTATGCCATGATTTCCAATAATATTAAGAGAATTTACAAAGTAGACAATTCAAGAGGCCATGGTTTTGATGGTGACATCGTTGGATTAATTTTTGATTGTAGAGTTTGATTTTCTCAAGAATATGTCAGATATGTCTGTACTTTTATCTGTAATAATTCTGTATAGCCAGTAATACAGTAGCTTTGCAGGCATGTGGCGCACTGGCAGATAGCTATATCACACCAGATAACCTGTTACACTCAACCTTTGCACATCTAACTGCAGGAGTTGTTTAAGATAAAGCTTTCTAGTGATGATGCCGGCCCCAACTGTACTTGGTGGCAGTAAGTTCCACTCTACGATAGTTCTTGGAAAAGCCCGGATGGAAATGACAATGCCCCCGGATGGAAATGACAATATGAGAAAAACTTGTTCCCTATGTTGCAGAAAAGCTGTACGAGTCTGTGAATGAGATTGAGCAGCTGTTAGGACAGCTGAGTATCATGACCAGCAGACAGCTGCCCAAGGTCACCAAGTTCTCCAAGGAGCTGGAGGAACTGCAGAAGACAACAGCAGCCGAGGGGGTTCTACTCAAAAGGTGAGCTAACAGAACATTTTTTTTCTTACGGTGTTGCTCAGTGCAAAGCCAAATGACCACATCTAGGCATTGAGCTAGGTGATATGACAGACTATGCAAAAATATGGCAGTAAAAATGGCAGTTCATTTTGAAAGCTTGTCAATGAGGATTGTATTTGGAAGGAAAGCATGTTATTTTCTGTTATTTTCTGCCTCACTGCTCACAAAATTTGAACATGCTACACTTTCCACTCGCTTGGAGTAAAGCACATCTCTCAAGTTTAAGTTTAAGCATTCATGTAAGATATAGTCCACTGATTTACAAAGTGTGAAGTAAGATAAGACAGCTCAAAAGCTATTAGCCAGTTTTGGTCTTTATGGTCCAAAAATACAATTCTTCTGAACCATTGTAAAACACTAATACTGTGCATTCTCAATTTGTTCTTGCCTGATTGTTGAATTGATTAAAAAGTTGTCCTGTGTGTGAATGCAGGATGGAGGAGCTGGTCGCTGCAGCAGAGAGTATCATGACTCAGGAGGTGTCACTGATCTCACAGGAGATACAGCTCAACAGGGCAGGGGATGCTACACATGACTTCACTTCACAGGGGCTACTACTTTAAAACCCAATTGTGAAATAGAGGACTATTTTGTCTAGTTACATATAGGTGAAAACTGTTTATAGAAATGACAGTTATGATCCATGAAAAAGCCTGCTGTATTGAAAACTAAGGAATATGAATAAAAAATAAGAAATATACCTGACTGAGTGTACAAAAAAACTAAGGAATTATACAAATAAAAATAAGAATACTGAAACATTCCTGAATTTTCTTGTAACATCTATAACCGTTACAGTTACATGTTCTTTTCCAATGACTTTGATATTTGCATGTACTTACTTTCAGATATGTCAGAGGCTGTGATAAGACATTGTAGGCTGAAGACAGTTTGTTTTGTATGACACACCTATTCATCTATTGGTAAGGGTATCTAGATTGGGTTCAGTGTGAGAGAATACAACACGTACTGATATGCTACTAGAAAGATTGCTCAAAAACCTGTTGTATGATTGTATCAATGACACTGTTCTTTCTATGACGAAAGAAAGAAAATACAAGAGACAGAAGTCGCAATAATGTTTTTTATTTACAGTAACATTAACATGAATTACAAATACATCCACACATTTGTACAGCCATGAATAAACAGTACTCAACTTCTTTCATTAACAAGACCACGATTGGGTAGAAAGATCATTTTTGACAAATACTGGACTTCTTGAGCTCCAAATTTGTAACAGACACTAAAATGCTATAAAACACTACTGGTATGATGAATTACTGGGTGGGGGACAGCTTTTTGGCTGTCTAATATGTTACGCTCCGTGTCACTAAAATTGTTTGAAGGGTCTGCAATGTTGGGGTGAAGAGCTGATTCAATAGCAATCAGTACTACAGAATTGGACCAGTATGGACATTTGGTTGAAAAACAGAATGGTTTGAATATTTACGTTTCTAGGTGATTGTCTTCGTCCGAAAAAAAAAATGTTTTCTCGACTTCCTAAAGTGTAATGGTTGGTGTTCGTGGTAGGAGAGGCACAAAGGAGTTACAAAACATATTATTGAAAGGCAACAGTAATATGCATTCACATACATACATACAGAACCCACACATTATATGCAAACTTTTAACTTTCATCAATTCATTAGTGACTTTGGCCCTTTTTCTTGTAAGATCTTAACTAAACAAGTCACAGCTAGATCCTTTCCAGCACTTTCAAATAACAGAACTTCTTACCTAAAACTAGTCACAACTATACAATTAGGAGTACTAGATTGTTGTTCAGCACAAGTATTTTAGTCCATAGCAATACCTAACAAGTAATTATATACAGTATAAAATATTCAATCACTCAGGACAAAATACTCTGTATTATTCACAAACATCTCGTATACTGTAGAAAACCACACATCGTGGTGGGCGGAAACATGGACATTTCTGTCAATCATTATAAAACACAACTTGCATGATCTGAACACTCAAAAAATCATAACAATTATTCACAAAGGTCTAATTACGAGGAAGTGTTACAGTTCAAGTATCACCAGTTATGATCTGAAATGAGTGATATCTACTTCGCATCATAGGTATGCACAATGCGTTCTTTTACAATCCAATGCTTCAATATCTGCCATTTGCCCTCCTATGTATCTTTTCACCCTTCTTCCACCAGTTACCTTATAAACCCATCAGTATAAACCAAATGGCAGTTTTATAGCTGTTATACAACAGCTAAACCATACATTCAAAGGGACGATGCCTACAATGCCCTTTTCCCTATCCACAAGTCTTTTTCTCTCAAAACGCAAATTTGCATCACTCCAAATATTTCTGCCTTCAAGGAGAACATGTGTACCAAGTAGACACTCATTCTAGCAAGAACTGGTGATACCTTTTAATATTGAAAACCTAACTAAAATATCCAACCACACTGGTTTTTGTAATCAACTTTCTACCTTGATTCACCCTGTTTTGTAATGTAACATTTCTAGTCAGACATCCACGTTTCTTTGCAATGGAATATGCCAATCATGCTGGTGAAAAATCATGACTGTTGTCTATTTGTGACAAATCATAAAACTACTTACGTGTAGGCTGAGGTTTAATACACAAAGTATATCCCAAAGAGCACATATGTGCAGGCATATACATGCATATACAACATCTTACACATTGCCACAGCACCAGCACACTCAACTTCTTTCCAAACAGTGGGCATTCAAAAGTGCTGTTGACCCTGAATAAAAGGACCTTTCATAAGGTTATTCTGCCAAGTTACACAGTAAGAACAATGGCTGACCTTATCACATTTGTTGTGCATTAGAATGGCACTGTACACTTCTACCCAAGAAGGAATCCTTTTTAGTGCTATGGAATTGACAATGTCTTTAAGATACATACATGTATATGTGTGCACTGAAGTGGTGAATATGGATAGAGACAAACAAACAAACAAACAAATCAACAGTCTGATATTGCAAAGTGGAGGTGGTGGAATTGCATTTTGCCACTTCTTTCTGAGGGGGAAAAATAGACATCAATTACAATCTATTATACACAGAACAATATACTATTCCAAATACACCATTTTCTCAAATAACATTCACATCAGCACGCAAGTATAGTAACTTGAACATGGAATTAGAAATAAATATAAGATACGAGATATCATACTTTACGCTTAGCTGCATATCTTCCAGCCTACATGGAAACCTTACATAGTTCCATGAAATTCCATTTTGTTACATTTAACGGGATAACAAAATAAATACTTCTAACTTATACGAACTCTGCACAACATTTTCTTTCTTCTTGAAGTTCTAGCAATTTTGTTAAATAAAATACAGGTCATATTTGGTCATGTGGGCCATCTGCCTTTTTTCCTTTCCAGTCCAGCTACTACAAACTGAAATGCTCTCCAAACATGCAAGTACTTGACATGTTATTGGGGTTTTCACATAGTGTAAATGCTTGGTCTACAATATACGACTTGTTAGCCATCTGGCTGCCCAGATCAATATGGGGTATGACTACATCAGCCTTGATACATACCAGATGGTGCTTTGGGTCAAACTAGTCATAAGTGCCTATTTTTTTTGGCAAGAACAGTATGCTACCTATATATGCTTTATGAGGAATAGAACCATGTAACATTTAGAGAAAACTTTCCTTGTAATTTTTCCGAAAGAAAGACCTTTGAAGACAGCTCTTAGGATGCGAATTTGAATGTCTTGAACTTCTAAATGCCAGATGGGCTTCTTCATATAAACCTGGCTTAATTAGTGTTACAAAGCAATGCTGCACGTTCCCTCCAATCTTTGGGTTCATGCAGTTGTAGTCCACCCTCACAAATCAGAGAAATGTATAATAATAGCCTAACTGCTGAATGGCACATTGACAAGTTTAGGGCACTCTTGCCTTGGCAGGGCTTCTTGCATTTACATCACCCAGATTAGGCAATAGCTTTTACCATTGTGATGGGAGCTCAACTATTTTAATGCTGACTTTTCTCCTGGCAACTGATAGAAGTAAGGACCATCTGTCTACCTATTGAAAAGCTGGCACAGGGTAGGCATTTTGAAAGAAATACTTTGCTTTATTGTGTGTAGTACCAGTAATAGGCACAGATGACCACTGGAGACATTCTGCTAAAGGATATAACTTGTTACAAAGTCATAAAAGCATTGGAACCCAGGCCTGTGTTAAATTAATGTAAGTAAGAAAACGGCTAGAAAGCTATTTGGTAGAAATTCTTCGGGTCGGTGACTGTGTCTTGCGTCACACTGTGATCTTCACCAGGCCCTGTGAGTTCGGGGACGACACTGACCCTCGGTTCAGTCGCTTGGCCCTGGAAGGAGAAAACATTTTAACGATGAATGTAGAATATTCTTTTACATTCTCCAATTGCCGACTGCCCACTGTCTGGATTTACTAAAAGCAAAGCTATATTTTTTGGCAGCATTTTCAAATCAATATTTCAATCTACATTTTTGTGGATGATAAGTCTTCTATATTACACAAATGCCAATAAGTAATTTCTAAATTTGCCTGATAATAAAAAAAAACGAAATATTGCCTGACTCTTTACAATGCATGAGAAGTGAAACCAATAAAGAGGTTCACAAATTGAAGTGTACTTTTATCTCATATTGATCGTCTTCATAATAATCATAATAACATGCAAAACAAAAACCAGTGACAAAGAAGAAGCGTATGCTGAACAAGAGAAATTGTTGTTAGTTTTTCTGCTCATACTTTTAAGAAACAAAGCATAGAATTAGCAATTAGACTTGGTGCAATCATCAAAAAATGAAAAATTGTTTTGTTTTACAAAACACATAAGGTAAAAATAGTATACATGTACATGCTACAAGTGCCCACACAAAGTACTGACACAACAAAATATCATATTCCCTTACAGCTAAGCCATGCATTAACAGACTGAAGCTTTTAACATGGGAACTGAAAATGTTGGCATGCATTAACTTAAAGACAGTGTTCAACAGAAACCAAGGACTTGCAACAAACAGTAAGTTGATGAAATAAAAAATTAAGTGACAACATAACAGTTGCAGCATATCATACATACATATTAGACTATAAGCCAACTTGTACAGTGCACTTAAGATTTTATACATAAGACAAAAAAATGGACATGCACATGACATGGCAATTATCAAATTTTAAACATGTACAAATGTACTAAAAACTACTAACTGTAACAGTTAATATTCATGCACTTCTGAACATAGCTCTAGCAAATTTTACAGCAATTATTTTTGGAGGCTTACATGTCTTTCTACAGCAAACAGTTTACAAATTGGAAAACCAATGTGTTCAGAACAAGACAAAGACTGAATTAACAGGGCATCTCATAAGAAAAATTTAATGTCATCTATCTCTTTAACATTTCAGTAAGGGCTATTCCAGTGCATAAGTTTATAGGGACAGATTTGACAGTGAATTTCAGATAATGGACAAGGACACCAAAAAGGAGCGAAGTCAAGAGTTGAACAAAAAGTTGAAAAGTTGCCCTTTTTTTTAAACCTTCTCTTTGCTTTTGATTCATTCACTAACGAAAGATGGTTAACAACAGGTGGTTAGAATGGAATAGCCCTGATGTAGAAGTCTTGAGTTGGCAACATGAACATGAGGACCAACCGATGGCAAACACGTAAAATGTACCTGCTAGTGCCAGTCTGACATGCAGAGACGAATGCCTGGAGGATTTCCATGCATGTACGCTTGTAAGGGGAGAGAGGGGTAAATGAGTAGCACTGCTAAAAGGGTTAATCACAATGTTACACAAACACACACATGGGGAGGGGATCAGATTAATTGAGATAAGATTAAACTGTTTGTTTTGACTTTGTATGATGTTTTGTATGATGGGTGAATGTTGCATGATCAGAACAAGAGGTATCATAAAGGCGATTTAGGAGTTTTAGGTTTAACAGGTAAAAGTGAGGGGTTTTCACTAAGATTAAGATGAAAAGTGTGGCTGAAAAACTGCAAAAAGGAGGACCAGGGGGCTGTTAATTCCTAAGAGCTTTCTCCTCCAGTTGCCATCATGAATTACATGTACGTGTGGGCCACTATTCTTGAGCTCTGGTTCAGATACTAACAACTTCCACAGCACTCTTCTGCATCAGTACAATTATGCTACTACGAGTAATATTCCATCTATTTTATCATCTTAACTTATTCCACATGTGATGCGGATATGTTAAGTAGGTTAGTTAGTAGGAGACATGTACAGGAGTTAGTTCTATTGTGGCTACAGCTAGACAAGCAGACAGAATTTTCAAGTGCCAGCACAGCTTCTATAGGAAAACAGTGAACTGATAGCAGAGTTAGCAGTTAAGTTATATGTATAAGAAGAGAAGTTAATTAAGGTTACAGTAGGGTAGAAGCAAATAGGACAGACCTATCACTTGAGGAGTGGATTATGAAAGGGGAACTATAGTATGAGGAATGTTAGTAGGTTTTAGTGAATTGGTTGTGCAAAGCAACCAAGCCAAGTGGACTTTACCATGATTGTGTTAGTCCCAGAGTGGTCAAAGATCAGTCACTCTCAGCCGCCTTCAGAGATGAGCAAAAAGGAGATGGCATGATCGTGAATAAGGGTCTTGTAAGGGAGGTTAGAGATGTACTGTAAGTTGGTAACATTTTGCAAGACATGGTGATTTCTTATCATGTGAAAATGTTAAGATTTGGTACTGGTCTATGTTAATATTAATACATTAATGGCAAAATTATTCCTTAAGAGTGTGTAGTACATCAGATGCTTGCAAAATTACTTTGTACATATTAAGACACTTTTTATTACATTTTGTAAGGAGCAACAGTAAGTACTAACTGTACAACACACAACAGACAGCTTAACCAACATGTTGCAGCATTATGTTGACATGCTGTACAGTATGATGCTTCATGCAAGCAACAGAACATCATAATACATCAGTAATATGCCTATAGTACTAGTAGTTGGATTTGTTGGAACAAGAACAAAAGAATGTAACAGTCAACTGGCACTGTACATGGGTAAGCACATGTAAAGCAGCCAACAGATGAGGGATACATTCATTGCATACAAACGATGCAACTTTTTTCAGTGTACTTACATGTTACGACCTTACAGCTCACCTCACTTCATTCCCCCTGCACTAAGGTTTCTCTCCTTTCCTGCTATGTAACCACTACTTTCCCCCAATCCTACAACAAATCTAGTTCCTTGGTTCTAAGATTTTATCAGGAAAAGCAGTTTTTCCCATTTAGATAGTGTGTTCAAATGATACCAAGGTATCAAAATGGTGTGGCCTAAATATTACTAATACTACATATGTCTAAAATCCATACAAGAATTGACAACTGCTGGAAAGGTACTTAGAGAGACTTTTTTTCACCAGAGTTTGAATTGGAATTAGAACATTTTGAATTTTGCCTCTAGCTATTCTACAATAATACTGTATTTCAGTCTTGTAAAAACTACTGGATTATAAAATAAGGGGGAATGCTTTAGTTTCTGCCACCACATCCAGAAAATTTGTTAAATGGCGTAATTACATGTACCCTACAACTATGCAATACTATACAATTGCGTATGACAAAGACAATATTTTAGATTTGCAGGAGCACGTTTGAAAGCTTTTGTTTCAACATGCAGGATTATATATTAATATATATCAGTCTGGTAAGTTTCTTCCATATCTAGTGAGTAGTATTTAGGTTCTGAATTATGCGGGGGGTTGATGGGTTGATGGAGAACTAGAGTGAAAGGTAGACAGCAACAGACACTTAGTTCAAAGCTCAGAAAAAACTACCAGTACTAAAGCATGTGCAGCCTTCAGATAAATGTAAATGCACTATAGAAATCCACATCAGCTCTGTTACACAAATATCATGATGAATTTGATCATTGATGATAATGCCTATTATGCCATCTTGGTAAGTGAAGGATATGCAGCAAAGATACTTGATGAGAAGGAGGTAAAAAATCTGTAGTTTGTTCAGATTTTAATTTCTACACGTGGTAGAAAGGAAATCCAACTTGTACTGAGAACATGAACAATTTCATTTATAAATTTAATTGCGATTTGAACAGCAAACCTCCAGTTTTTTTTAAAAAGAGTTTTACAGAAATTTATTGTACCTATATCATTAATGCATAATCACAATACAGGCATCATACTTTGGGCTTCTAGCTAATTAGCAAAACTAAGAAAAAAGGTGTTATTGGTGACAAGTCTCAATAACATCATTCCAGTGCATCTAGCAACTGAAGGTGCCATGCGTCAGAAGGTAAGGGAGGTGGAGACTGGACCTTTCTGTCGGGAGAGTCATGTTTGATGGAGTTTATGGCCTGAACCAGAGAGGTCTCACAGCAGGAAAGGACAGAACACAGAGGCAGGAGGATGTTGTCTGATGGCCGGGAGGGGGAGGGGCCAGTCGGCTGACTGTGGGGGCCAGACAACACCCGGCTCAGGGATTCCCACAGTCTTTTAACCAAAGCGTGGAGGTGGGGATGGTGTGGAGCAACATTGGACTGTGAATATCTATAGCATCTATGTGGACAAGATGGTGCATTTTGCCTTGCCATGCCCTAAGCGAAACGCTAAACCAAACTAGAGGATGAATAGATTTTTTCAATGACAGTTTTAACTACAGTGTTGAGAACTCTCGCTTGTTATTCCTGCCAGTATCCCCTTCCCCCTCCATGCTTTTAAGTGACTGTGGAAAACTCTGACAAAATAAAGAAAGAAGAAAAACAGATACTACATTGACTCTAAGCAGTTATGATGAAGTGGTGGATGTCTTGGGAACACATGATTTCACAAGCATATAGAACAAACTGCATGGCATATCGCTAATAGCATCATCTGCAATGCTAATAGGAACTAGTACACAATCTGCAATGCACAAACAGCACAATATTCCACCACCACCAAGTACATAGGTCTGAACTGACACCAGAGCAGTGCACTGCACTATGCTGACATTCCAGCTACTACGATTGGCAGAAAACAGGCTAGACAATCACCTGTATGTAGTGTCTGCTGGGCTCTATAAAAACATTATGTTTCTTCTCCTGGAAAGTAAAGAACATGAACACAGCTCAATTTGAGGAAGGCTTTGCTGAAATTTTTATGCTTTCACAAAAGCTCAACTATCCAAGCTTATACAAATTTACAAATGTAGGCAATGATCAAAAAAAGGGATGGATAGTCAAATACATGATTGTACTACAAGTTCAAAATATAACCAGCAATTTTACATTCATGCAATGAGAGCATGATAGAATTTGAGATGTACCACCTTGACCCAGCATGTTAGCACCTACTAGTGTCAGTTCAGACAAACCTCATGACATGACTACTCAAACAAAGCTGTGACTAGGAGGAAGCCTCACCTTTTTATACAGTCACACTCCAGCCAATCCTTTATCTACTAGTGTATTATGTAATTCTTTGTGTAACATTTTTTTCGCATACAACATATTGTATGGTACAATTCAGTTCACTTCCCATAAAAATTTAGCCTTGTCTTATTATAGGTAATGAATGAATGGTGGAAAATGCTCCAAGTGTCATAGTTAGTTTTCACTAATAAAAATATTTCAGTCTACTGTATGCTTCATAAACATAATCATACATTATGAACTAACCAACAAAACAAAGAAGACATGAATTTTGTACTTTATAAACAAGTCTTGGATTGGCTGTAGAGAAAGGTGAGCTTACTAGTTGAGTTGCTGCTACATGGAAGTCTAAAACCAGCCTAATTTGTTACACTGATTTTGTCAGCTAACACAAAAAGCTGCTGCCACCCTGCATGCCACCACTACCAGCCACCGCCAACACCATGCCTCCTGCCACGTGCACCGCATCCTGCTCCTTTGGCCACCCCCCTTCACAAGTGGTCCAGTCTCAAACATTGCTGCCTGAGACTTTCACTACGCCACACAGTGGTGCAAAGTATTACTCTAATATTAGAAGTCTTGGGAAAGCAGCACCGCCACAAAAACCATGAGTATAGCCAGACACCAGACACCACAACCAGTGACTATATGATGTAAAACTTGCCTGAGTGCAAACTGTGATTTGGCACTTGAGCATGCAAGCGTGCACGCTGATGTAGAGATGGGATGACTTGGCACGGGGAAACAACTACCACTCAAAAATCTGGATCACATGTTCCAGTGGTGGAACATACTGGCTTGGGGAAGACCAGGGATTTGGCGAGGGGGTCTTTTTTACAGGGGACTGACTGGGAGATTCTGATGACTGATTGTTAAGGACTAAGTTTTGGGGTCTTGGCTGGCCTGTAACTGGTGTGGTGGTGGTCGGTCCTGACCACTCCCTGGCTGTTCGTGGCGTGACTGGACTTTCTGGGCTATGTTGCAAACAAAGAAATTCCATGCCTCATTTCTTCGATCTTTAAATACTTCAGACTTTCAGTACATATTTTGAGCTATTGAAAAATGGTTGCTCTAGTAACCTTGTGACACCTGCACTTGGGAAGTTTGCGAGTACATTTCTGGGGTAGATTTCCACCTTGGAGGGGGTCCATAACTTTTTTGTTTTTTTGCTGCCACAAAGCCCCCAAAATAACCTCATGCACAGCTTTTGTTTACACTAAGTGTTCATTTATTCAGGCAACTTGAAGGAAACCCATCACCAAAATGGATCCAAATAAATCTCTGCTCTGAACCTTATACCCTTAGAACATGTGATCCAGGCTTGTGAGTGTTAGAAAAATGCCAGTGTTAGTACATGTTGCAAGAAGCAGCAAGATACAAACTAGACTTACCTGGGTGAATTTGGCCCCTTGCTACCACTACTCCTTCCTGGCTGCTCTTTCACAAAATTTCTACATGAGGCCAACTTGGATTCCAGTGCCTGAAAGAAACAAAAAACAATTTTCAGAGCTCTTCAAAAAGGAACTCAAAATCTAGCTATCTTAACAGGGTAAAAATGAACCTATGTTCCACGTACATGAATGGTGCATGGTGACTTTGTGGTGACTTACCCCTACTTTCCTGAGCAGGTCTCCTACGATGTTTAGAGCTGAAATGCGAGCGGACGGCGTGAGTGGCGTGCTACCTGAAGCAGCACCGTTCATCTGGGAAAAGCTTCCTGTGGTGAAAAATAGATAAAAAATCAATGCCATGAGCTGAAAGTATTTGTATGTGGCAAAGATCTTTCATTGCAACTCTGTTTATCTCTAACGTTAGAGAATCCTGTTAACACCTCGAAAACACACTCCCCTTTGACACACTCAACTAAAATGATAACATATTGCTGTACAAATTGCTGTAGCTCCGATATTGTCTTAAATTTCATTTTACTATTTGGAGGATTTTATAACAATCATTTAACATTGTGGGTTCTATTGGTGCACCAGCCATTTTCATTTTATGTCCACATTTTGACGTTTTATTTTTGTTACCCCCACATTATGTTATTTATGTTTCATGAGCAAAGGATCCTTATAAGCACAATACATGCTTTCTGTCCAATGCTCACAAATCTATGTGAATAAAATAGAAATAACACTCGATCGGGAAGATAAATTTATTGTACAGTCAGGGTAACATTACCTCTATGTGGAGGTGGCGTGCCAACTGGAGGCGTTGTACTGATGCCCTTCTCCAATACTGCTCTGTTATCTGGCATACTGATGGGAGTTGGTCTGCTTCTCCTCTCTACTTTATCGTTGTCTGGTTTCTCCTCATCCTTATCTTCCCCTGCTTGTTCTTTACTGGTTGATAGTGGTGATGGTCGTACGTTGAGCTCCAGCCTCAAGTCTGCAAGAGAAAAAACAGTTCACTGTTAGTTATCTTTCCACTTCTGATCAGCTTTTAGTTTACATTTCTCACAGAACTGCGATGTCTCTAGAATGGGACAAATAGAGCAAATCTGGTCTAAGTAATATAAACAAACTTTTGTGGGTCAGGGAATTTCTACCCTTTGCCTTGTCAACAGCTGGACCTTATCTGAAAACAAACTCTCCTCACTGTTAACTGTAAAAATCTTGAGCCCAATTTTTGGAATCCCTCTCAGTCTTATAACAACTATTGTCAAAATGGTTTCTTCAGTCTGAAAGCAAAACAGTTGGACAGGAAATACACTAAATGATTCAACATCAAAAGGCTGTTAACTCCTTCAAAATATTTGCAACAGGCCTCGCTTAGGCATATGCAAATTCTAATCTTCAAAACATGTAAGTTAGCTGTAGCTACCAAATAAGAATTACAGCTTGAAGAATAAAGATACAAACCTCTGGCTTCATCCTTTAGCCTTTGTATTGTCTCCATTAGCTGATCCTTCTCTTCAAGTTCACTTTCAAGAAAGGCATTTCTCTCAATTGCCTGAAATAAGACAACAAAAACAAACCAGTAACACACGTTGTTGACAAAAGTGTCCTAATCAATGATATTCATTTTTCAGCCACAGACAATATTGTTTATATAAGACAAATGATCCCTTCTTGTGTACATCAGTAGATGTTCAAATTAGTTTCCAAAATCAATACATCACATAATACTGGCACTTAGGTTGCATTCTGTCTAGTCTAACGATGCCTTAAAGTAGTGCAAATCAAACATCACTGCTCATATACAAAATGACATCAGAAAACTGCAGAACCACATTTGTATGCATGCTAGAAATACTACGGTTGTCCAATTTCATCTAGAAGTACATGTATATCTGTTTGAGGGCAAAATCCAAAATATTGTTTACCTTCCACACGACTCCCAGTAGGAGGTCTGATCCCCTCATCCATAATAAATGAGCTTAGCATTGATTTTGTGCAACTTTGCACGGCAGAATCAATTTGCCCAGGCTGGCAAGCACAATTTGGCAGCAAATTGAAAGGAAGCTGACAGGTGTAATATTTCACTGACATACTCTTTGATGCTTATTTGCTTTGGCAGACTGACAGTTACCTTTATTAAAAACTGCAACACTAATTCCAAAGGTTGCATCGGTAGTATGTATTCTTCATAATAATATACTGTTGACTAGATTCATTAAAACTGACAGGCCATTTACACTACATGATATTTTTGATCACAAGATTTACACCTTTATGTTTAATTTTCTACTATATGATCAATTATTATTGCCCATGATAAATTGTAACATTTACCCACCTGATTTAATCTTCCATCGAATTCCTCTAGAGATACAACAGTTGCTCTTTTGGCTCTCTCCAGATCGTCATTGATCTGTTCCAGCTCCCGTATGTACTTGGCCATTTCTTCCTTCATCCCCACCGTCTGTGCCAGATCGTCCTGTAACTGTGTGATCTGCTGGTGACTTTCTCTCTGACAGATTTCCAGCTTTTCCTGTGGAAAAATGTTTTATAGCTCATACAAAGATAGGAAACAAAAGATGACAAGCATAAGAACATTTATACTAGTATCACTTTACTTTTAACGATGAGTGGTTCATACAAGAAATCTAGCAGCTTAAATATAGAGGCTTAAATATAGAACTTGTGGTAGTTTTGGTACCATGAAATGGTTGTTTGATTTAGATTTTTACAATTCAGTCTTGCTATTTTCAGGATGAAAAGAATCCCCAGGGACCTTTATCCAAAGATCTTGATAAAGTGACTTCAAGTACATAATTTGTAAACAATTGTTAACTTTCAGGTCTACTTAGCATTTATAGGTTACAATTAAATTCTGCTTGTCAACTTCCATCTTGACATCCATTATACCAAGTTATCCCAAATAGTTAAAAACATGGTCGCCATGTGAAATAATATGGAGCAAACATGTGCACTGACTAGCTGACATGGGGGGCGTGAAACTTATATATGCACATTACATCATGTCAGAGTGTATATATAACATACCGGCTCCTGAAAGCAAACATTACATCACTTCCAAGGGGGAGTGATCTTATTGGCTTTTAGCTCACGCAAGTTTATCACCCGCAAATATGGCTATCGTTAAGAATTACAACATTTCTGTGTCAAGGGACCTGATATCGACCTATAACTAACAGCAGGCTTTTAGGCGTGACTCTAGTTACTAGTTGATAGTATGCCTGCTACTGTATTAATGGTTTCAATATTGAAAACGTTGGGGAGGGGGGCACAAAATTTGCTTTTAGCTACCACCAGCAAACTTCATTGGAAACAAATTACCAAGGAAAGACTTTCTACAATGACAAATCCTCTGGTTTCAAAACATTCTGTCAATGGTTATAAGTGTTTCAGTTGGGACAGAGTAGACAAAAAGCATTTTCTGGTGTCCACAAAGCTGGTGAATGACGAACGTATAAAATTTCATTAACACAATGGTGGTAAGTAGACCATGTCCATCATGTACCTCAAGTGCCTGAAATAGAGACAGGTACCTTTTTATGGAAAGCTATTGGGGTTAAACAACTTATGTGTGATGTGTTTTACATAATCAGTTGTCCTAACGACATAGGATATGAGCATGTTATGCTTCACAGATAGAGAATACAGTTACAACGTACACTTACCATTCACGTTAAAAAAGAGACAACGAATAGAAAAAGGCCATCAATTAATGACAACTATTCTAGATGATTGGCATAATTTGTAATTAGATGTTGTTTTGTATACCACATGTACATGTATGTAAATGACTATCATGATCATTGAAATATCACAATATGCAGCAAGACGTTTTCCTGATTTCTATGTCTGACAAGGCAAAACAGTACTTTTGGTATAGCTAGTATTACTAGTATTAATACTATTATTTCCACAAAAATTACCTTTAATGACTCTACTTCCATCTGTAGTCGTTGACAGGAGTTCTGCAGGTCTCTGTTCTTCCCCTCTACCTGTTCCAGTTGTGCTTCCAACTCAGCCTCCAGCTCTCTACTTTCCTCCTGGAATTCATCAAGTTCGTCCCTTGCATCTTTCACACTGAATCAGAAAGAAAAGACAAAAATCATCCTTTGTATCTTATAACATCATGGAAGGCATATCTGCAATGGTCACTCTTTGATTTAGTTGGCTGTCTTGGCTTTCCTTTTAAATACCTTAGATATCTTTGGCATCGAGTTAGCAGCTCACATGATGTTGGCAACAAGGTCAAACTATATGTTTTACATTCATCATCTGTGTGGATTGTGCTAGAAAAAGATTTTGATTGTGTAATTGTATGTACGTAAGGAGTGATGTACATGTAGGTCATTAAATAGCACACACGAGATCATGACTACCGGTTAGATGATTTACTTTATATCTCTTAATGGTATCTTTTGGTATCAAGACTAGGCTAGATCAGTTAAGAGTAACAGTGTACAGTCCATGGTTCACTCCTTGGTAAACCTTTCTCCAGTGGATGGTACTAGTATTCTACAGCCCACATGATGGGTCACCTGATAAAAAAGGGCTGGAGGCAAACCTGTTGTTACAGTTACATACCTGCAACATTTACACAGCAGGCCCTTGCCTCCCCTTCACAACCCTGGCCTCACAAGGGTACTTACTGAGGAATTGATTCGACTTAGGTTAATCACTATGTACTACTGCTGTGTATGCCTTTAAAAGGCTGAACTGCAGCATTGAGCAGTCATGTGTATCACCTACTTAGTTTAGGCATCTTTCCAACTTATCCCATGCCAAGGCATCTGCTAGTTAGCTGGAATTTTCTGAGAATTTCACAGAAACTTAACCTCTCCTGTAAGTAAAAACCGAGAATGGACTCCCTACAGACCATTACAAGCCATGGTGAATGTTTGATGTCAGACTGGCCCCATTCTTGTCATCAAGCAGCTTTTTGGCAACAAGGATCTGACAGCTCATGACAAATTTGGCACTAGAAATGGTACTTTCTACCTTATGACTTGCAAATGTTTCTGTTGATTGTGCACTTTGACTGCATTAGGTTCTTGTGTGAGTGAGGCAAACTGTAGCAGCGAGGATGCTATTCAGATAATAGCCAATATTGTATAGAATGATTTTGCTGTAATGTACAGTACAAAGTATCTGTACAAGTAGCGATGTTTAAAACACAGACAACACATGATCGTGCTGTTAATGTGGCTGAAATGATTACAGTGACAGATTTTTCACTGACTCCCAGCCACTGAAAGGGCGTATGCATGTACAAGTCTATGAAATTGAGTTACATATAATATTCTAGTGTTCTCAGAGATATTTGTACTGGAATCATTTGCTTCATCATGGGTATACAATATGCTGAGCTCCTCACATTTTGGTAAACTACAGTGCAAAGGAACAAGGCTGCCTTGAAATGTAACCAATAACACAATGGTGATTTCAAGGTATGCAGCCCTGGGGAACTTCACCCCCTACATAAGTCACCTGGTCACATTAACCACACATGCATGCATACCGTCACCAAAACAGGCATTTCAATTTGAATGGTCAATGTTTGAATGTTTATATGTTTCTGACAGTGAGTTCTGTTTATGCTTCTTTGGCTGTTTGTGTGGGGTAGTCTACAATTTGAAACATACCCTCTCTAAATATGTTTACCTGCCTGTCATATAAGACAGTGCCATCAAGGTTGACTGCCTACTGTACTGTCTTATAATATATTATAGAGATGTGAGCTTTGACACCTACTTCTTAGGTGGGGACCCCCTAGGGTACTTGATCCTTTCATGATGACTTCACCGCCCCTATCCTTATTGACCTATGCCACCTAGGGTGCCTTCATGCTACCAATATCTTATCCTTCCTCACTCCCCCAGTAACATTACATCTTTTGAAATTCTGGTCTACTATGTAATAGCATTACTACTACTGTCAGTAGAAATGGACTCAATTTTTAAGAAAAGATTGTTAGGAAAAGACAAGCTCCACTGTAAGTGCCTCCCCAAACATTTGACATTCCACATCTGTACTTGGTTATTATGGCATGGTAATTGACAACACTCCAAACATTAACATGTGGCAGAGCCTGCATAGAGAGAATTTTACACCAGACGATAACATTCAGTACAGGTTGCATGCCACTACTTGTTTATTCCATGTTGTGACTTGTCCTAAATAGTAAGCATAACTAGATCTCTTGTTTATACTGCTGGTTTTTATACAACATCCAAATGCAGTCCAGATTTACAGCTACATCATGTATCTTGACCGTGTCTGACGTGTCAACGTCTTTTTAGGGAAGGGAATGGCAGTGATAATTCTTCTGTAAGTCGCCAGTATTGGGAATCCTTTGGGATCCAAATGAGCAGTATTTTGGAACTAGGGAAAAAGTACAGGTTTAGAACATTATACAGTTATGAATATGAGAGGGACTTTTGCTTAGGCAGCTTATCTTTTAGTTTTAGTACCCGGAAGTCTGGATGTGGTGTGACGTACTTCTATATTTGCACAAGATTATGTGGATAGCTACCAAATACTAGTAATCATACAATGATTGATAAAATATACCGGCATGTGGCCTCTTGGCGAGCTGGCTGTGTAAATATCATATTACTAGCTTATTATATCACAAGCATGGAAAAACTTTGGCGTGGAGAAAGTCCTTGACAGTTTGCAATACACATGACTACTGGTCATGCCTATCTAGTTTCACAGCTGATCTGAATCTGCTATATGTAAATGATACACTTGTTGTTGCATATGATCCTGGTAACAACAATCTAAATGTCCATATACACAGTAGACAGCAATAGTGTTTTCTGCGTGTAGCATCAATGGCATTAACTTAAACCATTTAATGATGCTCATCTATAGATCTACATCTGCTACAAGAAAAAGGCTTATAATTTACAATACAAGGCAATGGTTATCATTTGCCAGATCTGTGGTGTTGTTCCTCCATTCAGTTCTTTTCTACTGTTATGTATTGCTCATGGTAAATGCCAGTCTTTTTGGCTTCTAGAGTGAATGTTGTTATTGTTTTTTTTCATCAGTGAAAAAACTAAGCATTGTTGGTAATAATGTTAAGATTGTAATCAATGATAATGTGATCAATAATGCAAAGCAGTAGGAAATTAAGGAAGAGTACCATATCTACGTAAGTAAGACTTCCTCTTTTGTCTGGTAATCCTGACACCCTATTGTCACTAGTAGTTTCCATGATTTTCATCCGACAAAACTTACTGCAGGTAACATGCAGGAGTTTCACACCAGTTGAAAGCAGTTATTCACACCACTTGCCACACTTTGGGGCTAACTGATAATGTGGTCTTACATGATTACCATTAGAACAAGGAAGGCGCAATTAAAGGTATTTAGACCTACATTACAGGTGTTGTTACTATGTTTACCTGCGTCACTAAAAAGTCGTCTGCATGACAAAAAACTAAGCTTGTCATCTCAGCAATCTGTCACTTTGCTCTGTTTCTTCTTGTTTCAGACGATCTTTTCCCTGCCTTAAATTAAAATCTGAGGTACCACATTGGGCGGGAAGCTTGGAATGTTTTTCCAGAGATAGTTGAGGCGACTTTTAATCGTGATGTCATGTCGTTAGGCCTCGTGATGAGGGATTTTTTTAAAGTGACCCACCCCCCACCCACCACTACAACGTCAAAACTTCGACACGTAGACAACCAAACGGCAAAGTTTAGACTCCCACTACGAATATAATTCTTTCAAAACGTATCCCAGGTGTAATTTGAAAAGACAGACAAGCATTTAGAAGTTACCTTTGTCTTAATTCCAACGCTAGATCTTTCCAGTACTTGATCTCTTCCTCCGGACTAGAGAAACTCGGTACCTCCTCGTCGTCCATGATTTCCACGAGAAGGAATAAACGTCCTAGGACGCTCGAATGTCAGGCGATTGCCTCAGAATAGCTTCAAGAATACTTCCCCTTGTAGTTGAACGGTAAAAACAGTGCGTCGCGAACTTCCTGTAGAATCACCGGCCGGCCAAATTTCAAAACTCCGAAAATTCAAACGCCCTTCGCCACAGCCAAGCCTCCGGTTCCCCTTCCTGGTTTCCGCGCCTCTTCACTCCTGTATCCACTCGCAACTTGGTGACGTGTGTGCTGAAATTCTTTTGATAAAACACCCCATATCATGAAGAAATATAAAGCTTTGACGTTAAGTATAACTTGTGAGAATGAACAATGATCAATTCATACCAATATTATGAATCAGTGCCGACATAACTCGAAACGATGTAATGGACTATTTCGGGACAACTCCGACGGTTTATCATAATACATGTATCATTACGCCACCCGGCCGACCCAGGATGACCTGCCGCAACTCCATAATTTTACGACATCAAAATAACAAGCATCAAGAAGTTTATGATTTTGCCAGCCGTAATAAATGTCTTATGATCTTCAAAGAAAAATATTATTCTGAAGGCAACACGAGTGGCGACTAAATAACTTGGGTACAAGAATATCCCACAACATCGAATAATTTGCTATTGAAAGATAAGGCTATGCCCACACTTTAAGATTACATTTGATACAAAACTTCATTTTTAAGTGTGCATTGTTACATACATCTCAAGCTTTTATGAATGAATACATCAAAATATTGTTTTTGTTCCTTCAAAATCACTACTTACTTCTACTTTTGTCAAAGGTTGGGATAAAAAATATTGTTTTGTGAAGGGGGTGTCAGTAAATAGAACAGCCAAAATAGTTGTTCCATTTTGCGGCAGTGTCATTGCGGTCCCCGCGCCTGCAGCAGCGCACGATGGACTAGTGGAGGGTGCAGCATTTTCCCATTTATTTTGTAGGTAAGAAACACTCAAGACCTTCAGGAATTTTACTACATCTTCTATACACCTGTCAAAGCGTAAAGGGACCATTTGAGCTAATTTGTGGGCTTTGTTTACGGTTTAATTTTAGAAAGTTATGGCGGGGTTGTAACGGGAGACAGGCAAACGTGCTGCTCGTCAGACATTCTTTGATAACGGGTCACCCCAGATAAACGTTTGCAGCCTGCTTTTAGACCTTCCCTATCAATGCCTTGTGCCTTCAAGACATATTGCACCCCCATAACGTTCATACATCTGAAGAAAATGACTCTTATAGCCTCTGAATGGAAAATTCTGCATTGCACAACCTCCCCGGGACTTCAAACGTGAAATCCCAAGTGGGAGTGTTACACAAGCTTCCCGCTGTTTATGCAATGTGGCTCCAATGTTTTCCTTCACGAAAGCTTCGCTAAAGCTCGACTTTCTTGCCTCCCATTGATGTCAAATGTCAAGACGGTCAACAATTTGTCAAAAGATACAATGATCTGTCATTGGAATACTACATCTGTTGCCAGAAATAGATATTTCATAACAATAACAAACAATCATGTCCTTCAAATGTGATATATGATATATGCAATATAAAACAAGCAGTGCAGATTTATACAGGTTTCTCAGATGAAGCCTTTATGAAATTTGTTTGCTTGGTCAGTTGGTGGGGACATTTTTGTCTGCAACTGTGCATAAGGAACAATATTGGCTTGCAGGCTGTTATTTCACAACATCAGGTAATGTTAACATTACAGTACAAGTACAGGTAACGTTACATGTCCAGACATACCAGAGGTTTAGGTACATGTCCAGACCTGTACCCGTACAAGTTGACATATGTTCAATAACTATAGAGACAGTAAACTTGACAGAATCTTCATTGAAAAAATGAAAGGAAGAGAACAGAACTAGGTGGCCTTATGTCTTATTTAATTTTAAACAAAACAAGAAGCCATAGGTGACAATCCTCCGTGAAGTTTTATATATTTCAACAAAAACAATCCCAAGCGTCAATGCCAGACCTACTGTGCAGACATTATAATTAGGCAACGGTTAATACAATGAGGGCGCGTCACAAGCATAAAACATACAAAGAGCTAAATCCATTACTGCTCCCAGGGCGTGTAAAGATACTGTGCTTCAAGTTCGAAGTTCATTTTAATAACACACACACAATCATTGCATTCACATAAAGATCGGACTATCATGGTCCGTGTCTAGTAACAAAGACAGCCCCACCGTCTTACTGTGCCTGTACCTAATTAAGCGCGCCTGGAACAGGCCAAATTCCAGCAACAGTTGCGGTAAGCACCGCGAGTGTTACTACCGCTGCCAGATAACCAGGATATCTGCTTAGAGTACCTCTGCTACCAGACAACTGCCTAAACCCACGGCCTATTCCACAGGATTGTAAAAGTAGGGATGTTTCTAAAATATGCATTTACTTCAATATCAAAACAGCTACGGTAAAAATAAAAAGACGTGCATCATCCCGGACATAATGCCACACCACATGCGAAATTACACAGAAATGCGACGTACGGAAGAATGCGTTTTGGCTGCGAACATCTTCCAAAAAACTTGGCATCTCTTAAGCATGGGCAAAAACATCTGGAACCACTTATCAAAACCACCCCGTATCTGCATGAAGTTCCACCCCCCCACTGCTATTCCAAACAACGCGTTTTTCTGGACCATTCCAATTCGCCTCATAATTGTAGGGGTGCGTCTGCAATATTACATTGACCGCGAAAGCAGCAACGGCAAAAGTACACATTCGTGCATCAACACGGGCATGCCCGCAGACGGCATATAAAATTGCGTGCCGATTACACAAAGAGAACCCAGTGTTTTGACTGCGAACACGAAAAATCAGCCGATCACAACACTCCTGAAGGAGGTTCTGACCTCCTTCACGGAGTAACAAAACCATATGTATTGTTCTTGTTGCATTCCTAGTCTCCTACAATTCTCGAGCTGTTCATAAAATATATGTTGTGTTCAAGTATTTGTTATGCTCCCTCTAGACATCACTTGGTTACCTAGATGTCTCTGTGTCTCATGAAGCCACTAGTCTAGTCTAGTGTAGTGTAAATTTATTTGGGTACAGCACAGGTTTAATGATTTGGTATTTTGAACCTGTACCTAAATGATTTTGCAGTACTGTGCCAGTGCTGCCCTACTGTCAACTGTAACTTAATGTTACCTCGCTGAACTTGTTCTGCAGTTATCCTATGAAATAAATGACATGAGACTGTTATTCTTCCCCGCAGTGCCCTAGGAATGTCAAAGGGTGGGTAGTATGAGTGTGTTCCACCAGTGATGAGCCAGACCCCCCTGCGGAGTAGCGAGGGCCCCTCCCACACCTCTGCCCCTGGTGCTGCCTCCACCGCTGACCCCCCTGTGGTGTACAAGTGCATCTTCCCCAGCTGTGATGCCTGCTTCCTGGATAAGGAGGCCGTCCTTACCCACATCTCACTGCAGCATCTGTCTGGCTGTGCACAGGTAGGATTACAGAAGATGTAGCTACATGTATATAGGAGGGCCTGCAAGGGGGGGGTAGTGATTACGAATTACACAAAATTTTCGCCGCCTATTACGAATTACGTTAAAGTCTCAGAGCTGATTACGACTTTACGATTTGCAGCTAATGTCCAATTACGAATTACGTTGATTTTTGCGGAGGCTGCCTATGAATTACGAAGTCTAAAACGGCCTGATTACGCCTTACAAAAAAAGGGCTTGCTGGCCCTCATGTAGCTCACATCACTTCACCCAGCCTTCTCAAAACAAGCCGGCAACCGGCGAAAATCACCGCCTACTTTCATGTAAATTTAAGAAAAAAATTGTAGTCTCCATTACAAACCCCTTCATGGCTCGCCTGCTACTTTTTTATTTCAGCCACCTACTCTAAATTTTTGTGAGAGGGCTGCTTCACCTGTCACTTTGTCTATCCTTTGAAATGGAAAGTACCTTGGACGGTTCTATAACCAGGGCTTGAAATACTTTTTCTTGTGCAGGTAACAAACTAACATTGAAAATTATCTGCACCAGACAAATTTTACGTGTGTGGTTGTGTGGAATAGCGGCAGTGTGCTAGACTCAGAACAAAAACGTCCCAGGTTCGAGTCCTGACATGGCACCAATCTTGTGCCCTGGGAAAGGCACACGACTGAAAATGAGTATTGTCTTGTCCTGTATTCGTCCTCTGCGTTGGTGGCGGCATAAAATAAGTGGATATAACTTGAGTGTGCTGTCACCATGTCTAGTCATGAAATGTTGGAATATAAAAAAAAAATTCTACGTGCACCTTTCAGACTTTCAGAAGTATGAATTATACTATAAACTATTCAGAAACCATTGCCATTATTTCTTTTTTACATAGTTCAGTACTTGAAGGCCAAAAGTTTAGGGGAGGGAAATATACGCACATTTGCTTGAACAGCTTGATAAAACATAATGAATAATGGTCCATGTATCAATAGTTTACAGTCATTGAAGGACATACCATATGTATTTGGAGTGAGTGAGTCAATAGGGTACCCTGTCTAAATAGTGTGCAATGTGAGAGTGAGACTGTGGGTATTTCATGTATGCATATGACATTGAATTTTCTGTCTTTCCACAGTGCAATACAAGCTGCTGCACCAGTTGCAGTACCCTGCCCCCTACGGTCCACTTTGGTAGCTCCCGCTATCCCCTGCCCCCGTCCACTTGGCACGAGATGACCCAGCAACACCCCGGCCCCAGTCTCCCCAGCAATGCCGTCCCCTGCTCTCTGTGTTCTCCTAGTTTGGATTACCCCTGTGCTGCACTTGGGCAGAGGTGTTCTCATTCCCACATGACTTATCCTCCAACCTCCCACTACCAGCCAAGTCTACCCGTGCCGACACCGCCGCCAAACATTCCATATCACCCACACCCCGGCCTAGTCCACACTGACCCAGCTTTCCACGTGGGAAGTCCCAGTCATAGCTACTTGCCCCATGTACCAGGGCAGGAGGGCTTGGCATGGCTTCACAACCTGGGGAACACGCCTTGTGCTCACTGTGCTATACCACAACCAGCACCGTCAGTATCGTCTGTTCAGGAACAGCTGCTGCAAGTTCTACAGCGCTCCACGACAGCGTCGCACCTCCAGACGTCACCGCAACGCAGGCCCAGAAACCAGCACCAGAGTCCCTCTCGGTGTTTGCACCACAATTACACAACTTCAGGGGGCAGCACAGGTTTGTTCAATGTTGGCTATGTCACAAAGTTTTATGTAACAATATCCTTACAAAGCAGTGCCATACAAAGAAATTAGAGAAGTAACATTTGCAAAGCAAATGCATAATGTTTACCTTCGGACATGGTCTGCTCTTTTAATTCTTACTCAAACACATTCACATACATGTACTACTACTAGTAAATGGTGACAGGAGCAGAGCAGACCATGAAATTGCAACATTATGTAACCCAACATCAGTCACCATGGTGACAGACATCAACAAATCATGTCATTGGTCAGGTCAGAGGTCACTGTTTGGAGAAGAAGAAGAGGAAGAAACTGAGCAAAAACAATATGTTTTCCTTCGGTAAACATAATTAGAATGCTGGATTATGATGGCAGTTCAGACTGAAATTAATGTCAGGCCTCTCCTAATACATTCTGACAATGTATGTTTTGTATCCATAATTTCTAAATAAACTAAAACAACTTTGTTTCTTTGACACTCGTAAATCTTCAGAATGTGTTTGCACCTTTTTGTTAGTTTGAATCAAAGTGAATTTTTCTATGATCTAACGACTTTTTCTAATTAAAACTCTTAGGTACAGATGGTGGGAGAGGAACCCTCCCTTTTGTCCAGCCTCCCATGCCACATTTTGGAAAGCAGACACCAAGTGTAGAAAGTAGCTCAGAAAATGCCACTGTTGTTACAACTCCCCCTGTCCACAGTCAACAACCAGCAGGTAAGGCAATGGATGCCACAGTACATCTTTAGCTAGTAATTAGGCCAGTATTTTAGTCAAAGAACAGAGTAAGTAGTGTTGGTATAACTGTTGTCTCACTAAGCATGGAAGCTTGTTAGGCATGGATGATGGTCAAGGATGCATGCTACTAGTATTTTCATACACTCACTCATATTTTCATACACTCTCATACACTTACATGGTCACACAAAAAATGTATTATTGTGCTCTTTTTTCTGAGGGTTGAGGAGATACAATACAAAAATTGTTTTCCTAACTGCATGATTAACTGATTAGTATACATGTATAACATAACTCTCTTTCTCAATAACATAACAGTATTGGTAGTAAGAGATGAAGATTCTGCTGCCTTTTGCTAATACGAGATGGGGTTCGCCAGGCCTCCATCCAGGAAAGTCGTGTAAATTGCCTTTCCCAAGGATACAATATCGGTCGCATGGCATGGCAGGGTTCGAACCCGGGACCTATTGGTTCCAAGCTGAACGCTCTGCCCTTATGCCACACAAGACTTAAGAGTACTGGTGCATGTTGTACTATTTTTTTAATCCTCCTGTTTTGACCTTGCAGAAGAAGTTCCCCAGCTGCCCGACTCTGCGTCGCCCCCCTCCCAGCCTGACACCCTGCCTCCTATCGGAGTGTTCTGGGACATCGAGAACTGCCAGGTCCCCAGCGGGAAGACAGCCATGGGCATCGTGCAGAAGATACGCACCGAGTTCTTCGCCGGACACAAGGAGGCTGAGTTCATGTGTGTGTGTGACATCAGTAAGGAGAGCAGGGAGGTCATACAGGAGTTAAACAATGCACAGGTCAGGAAAGTTGTTGCTTGGGCCTAGGAAAAAAATTGTGTTCCCTGTTTCAGTCTCAAAAAATTAGGGTCAGTAGGTAGGGATTATCTTTTTTTTCAGTATTCAAAAAAATTAGGGTCACAGGTAGGGATTATCTTTTTTATTTTCTTTCTTTCTTTTTTTATTAGAGTTAGTCTTTGGCAATCTTTAGTGATCCAACTTGTGATCCAACTTATACAATACAATTAAACAAAGGAAAAGTTGCATGAGGATACTTATATTTTCAATGTCAATGTTGGAAAAATGTTTAATCACTCAGGTATCAGATCGTAGAGCTAGGAAAGATCAATCAGCTTGAAATTCTTAAAAGTCCCTTGCCAGGGGTCCACCCCGAAAAAAGGCTAGGGTCGGCAGTTTTTTCTAGGATCAGTCAGGAAAGAGAAAACTTTTTTTTCCTAGACGTACGCTTATCTAGCTATGGACAAGGTCAAATTGTTCTTAGTCCTGTAAAAATTGACCTGTTAACTACAACCTTTGCTGTCAATATTAACCTTGGATAATAAGCTGTTACCATAATAAAATTTTACATGCTTGAAGTTGTTAAGTCCAGTTGGTGACACAGTGTTAATCGCATATACATTCTTGCCACAGGTGACAGTAGTACACATCAATGCCACAGCCAAGAACGCAGCTGATGACAAGTTGAGACAGAGCATTCGCAGGTTTGCAGACACCTACACCAAGCCTGCCACTGTTGTCCTGGTCTCAGGTAAGCACTGGTAATGTTATAACTTCATGGTAATGCAAACAAAATGGACATTCAAAAATTATAGCCAAATGCATTCAGAATGTCTATTATATGTTGGGTATTTCAGCACAGAACTGTTGAATAATTAGTTTATTTTTTTACACATTTTACTTCTGATGTAAGGCCACACCAATTTGATTTGTTGGCTCTCAGATTTTTTCAGAAAAAAAATGAAGCGACAGAGCGAAAAACAAGACGATAAAAACAGACGTAGGCATCCTATGATAGCCCAAAATTCTAGAATGATAGGAGCCATGAAGTCAAGATACTAGGCTGATTTGGGGCTAAAATATGAGCATTTTGGAGTTGATTCAGGGCCTGAATTTTTTTTTTGAAACCAGAAAGAAATGAAGTGGGGGAATCTGAGAACTAACAAATTAAATTGGTGTGGCCTAATATTACAAATATCTGTTTTGTATCTGCATGTCCATTTTCTTACAATAGGGGATGTAAATTTCGCCTCTGAGTTGTCGGACCTCCGACACCGTCACAAGTTCCGTATCGTCCTGCTGCACACACGGCACGCACAGGAGGCGCTGCTGCACCACGCACACCACGCCGTCTGCTACGACGACTTTGTCCGAGATCTCCCTTTCAGATCACCCAGTAAGGTAAATAGCCAACAAATTGTAACATGATTATGTTTACATTCGCAGAAGGAAAACATAGTGTTTTTCCATTGTTTCTTCTTCCTCTTCTTCTTCTCCAAACAAATAAGGTCAATGACCAAGACCAGATGTCTGTCACCATGGTAACTGGTGTTGGGTTACATCATGTTGCAAGTGGCATACAGAAATGACTTCAAGAGGGGCTGCATAGTCAACATATACTGTATATAAGTGTCTTTGAGTAAGAATAAACAAAGCAGTAGTTTGTTAAGCTGGGTAATGCGAAGATAAACATAATGCCTTTGCTTTGCAAATGTTACCTCTCTGTTCATTTAATTTCAGTCACATCTGATGGCTAATACGTAGTAGAAAATCAAGCTGTAAGACTTAAAAGCTCTTTTGTCAGGACTCTTCCAATATTTGACATAAACTCTGTATTGACTTTTGCAGGCAGCTATGGAACTAACAGACCTGCTGGTCAGCCACTTGCCCATTGGTCGAGACAGCAACCAGATTCGCAACCGGCTGAAGCAGCTGTCGGATAACTGTGGCGGACGGGTCCTCCACGTGTCCGGGACATCGGCGCTCATTCGCTTTCCGAACACAGAGAGTGCCAACAGGTACGGAATATGGTGCAATGTCTTTCCTAGGACTATCGCAGAGTGGAACTTGCTGTCACCAAGTACAGTAGGGGCATTATCATTAGATAGTTTTAAACAATGTTTAGAGTTATATGTTCAAAGGTTAGGTGTAACAAGTTGTTTGGTATTATGTAGCCAGTTGCTGCCGCACCGCGTGCCTGCGAAGCTGGTGTGTTACACCAAAGGATGGTTATACCGGCTATACAGATACATATACAGGATGTCTTTTTGGAGAGATCTATCAAAACATGTTTGTCGTAATATGAAACTTTTCATCAGCTGACGATTACATACAAGTCATGTTTAAAATTTGTTTTTCTGTGTCTTCAGGGCTAAGAAGAGGATGGAGAAAGAGGATGTCTTTGGCAGTAAGATTACAGTAGCGCTGGCACCCAAACAGAAAGAAGAGAACAAGTCCCCCACACGTAGAGCGCGCCACAGAAGTAACAGTAGAGGGAACGAACCATCTCCACCTGTGGGCAAAATGGAAAAGGTAGTAGTAGTAGCAGTAGGTCTACCTACATGTACTAGCATTGCATAAGTACAATATAAATTCTTTTGATATTGTGTGAATGCATAAAACTATACTTTGCTGAAACAATATTTTGCAGATTAAGCAACCTGCAATTTTGCAGTCTGAAAAGTTCAAGAGCTTTTGTATTTACTCCTGACTCTATGATATACAACAGTACTATAACTAATTTTGCATGTATTTGTCAAATTGCTTGTAAAATGTAAGCAATTTTGTGTATGCCATTGATTTAGATCCTGACTTTTAAATGTGTATGTGGCTATGTGCAGAAAGTATTTCTGAATTGCAGAACAAAATTTTGACATTTTGCAGTATTGCAGAACACTGAAAAAAGTATTTCTAACCACTGGCGACATTTACAAATGCAGACGGAAAGCAGAAGTGATTCTGAGCATTCCACAACCAGCGACCCTGAAAAGTACAGCCACCACCAGACACCCAGCTTCTTAAAACAGCTGCCCAGACATCATCCACAACCGCCGGACACCAGACAGCTCCATGGCAGGCCAGGAGGACTGGACAGACTCAACCACTCTGACGGCGGTCCCAGGAGTGAGGGAAGGAGAGAGGGAGAGGGAGGGGAGCCAGCAGGGGCGTACACAGATGTACTGCCTTCATGGCTGCAGGACAGAAGCCTGGAGTATTTCAGACCCAGACAGGAGGCAACATCACACTTCAACAGGAATGCCAAGTTCAGGAGGTTAGGAGAGTTTTTAAGGTTCAGAAAATCTTGAAAAATAGCCCGATCGGTACAGTAGCTATTCAACTTTGAGTGTTAACTTTCTGTCAACAGTTTTTTCTATATTCCAATATTTATTGCAAGACGTAGCCACAGCACACTGAAGTTTTTTTAAACTTACTTTTATGCTGCCACCAATGCAGACAAACACACGAATGGACAACAGACATACTCATTTTCACCCAAGTGAAGTGAGGAAATTTGTGTAAAGTGCTTTTTCCAAGGGCACAAGGTGGCAGGGCAGGATTCGAACTCAGGACCTCTCGGTTCCGAACCGAACTTTCTGTCATTATGCCACATGACGCCACCCTATTAACAGCTCTTAACCAAATTCTGAACAGCAGTGAAGAAAAATGACAGTGGCAGTATTGCATCTTTCCAGGTCTGTTGGTCCAAGATTTGATCACAGGACCCAGGACCTGCCGCTGCCCCTTCCACCAAGGCCTCGCAGTGCCTCTCCAGTCTACCCCATGCTGTACAGCGCACCCCTGCCCAGAGCAGCATCCCCACAACCCCAATCACACCCTTTCACGGAGATGTTCTACCCACAAGGGGTTGACCTGGAGGTCAGGAACCTTGACCCCACCCTGGGTCACCAGGAGATGAGGCAGACATTACTGTCTATCTTCAGGGAACATTGTAAGGTAGGTTACCATGGCAACACATTTTATCATTAGTTATTCTTTATAACTGATGATGATTATGATCAACATCATCATCTTAAGCACGAAATTAAGGGATATCTAAATTCAATGTTTTCATTTTAAAACTTAGGCCACAGCAAGTAAATTTTATAGATGACATCCTCCGCAGACTCCAAATCTAATGTGAGGCAGGCCGAAAAAAACAAGGTTCCTACATTTTGAAATTTTGACTCAATCATTGTACAAATGGTTTTGATTCAGTGGGAACATCACATATACACAGCCAGCATTACATATCACTGCATCAAAAGAAACAAAGCATTAAATCAGAGCCTTTTCTTGTCTCCTCTCTTTATAGTTATCTGCCACCCACCTGCCAGCATGGCAACAGACATCTTTGCCCATTTTCGGCATGTTGACCTCCGTCAGAAGGCAACAAAATTTCTTGTGTTTTTTTTTTTCCAAAATCAGGTGAAAATTAATGCGCGCGTTGATGTCATCCATAAAAATTACTTGTGTGGCCTTATTAGCACAATGATTTTTATGCAATTTTTGCTGCAGAGTAGTTTTTTTACATGTCAAAGGTATCATCAGTTACCTTCCCTAATGCATTTTGCAGTATACATTGTACATTAAAGTTGTACCATGACTAACCTTAATATATCCCTTCCTGTTGAAGGTGCTAAAGCTTGACATGCTGGCTCCACATGAAGGTGTGTGGAAAGCTATGGTCAAGGTCCCCAAGATGACTGATGCCACACTTGCCATTTCCCAGGTACATTTTAAGCAATCGTCTTAACCCTTGTCCTGTGGAGCCCAACACTTGTTGTTTTGTACATACAGTACCATCCATATAGAACTCTGCATAGGTCTGATTTGGGGGTATTTCTCGTGCAACGCATCACACCACAGCGAAATGCAACGAATGTGGAAGTAACTATGCCACCGCAGGGCAAAAAAAGTCGGGAGTCTATGACCTAATTAAGACATGAAATTATTGAAAAATACTGTGTGAAAATTCCATTAGGACAAGGATAAGTAAAAAAGACTTCCCAGGCTTGAAGATGATGTTACTGTACTCTATCTGGAAACTTCAGCCTTGAATAATATATAAGAATTTTTTCCGAGCAAGTATCACGCTGAAAATGCATCTGTAAATCAATTTTTTTTCTGCAGGTACATAGACGTAAAGTTGGTAGCAAGAGAATACATGTGATGCTGGGAGGTCGAAGGTCACCTGCCCTGCAGTACTTGAGGTCAGAGGTGACGGCCATCTTGAACGAGGCTCCCGGAGGCTGCCTGCCGCTCTTCAAGTTCACTGAGATCTACGAGAAGAGGTGAGAAGGAAAACTCAAAAGACATTGTATGAATCCAGTACAGTTGTTCAACCACCTTGTTGCTCAATGATCAATTCACCTGATAGATTGAATCTTCTCTTTGAGATTATTATGGCTTCACCAACACCACGTAGTGAAGAAGAGTCCATTCCATTCTTTTTCCATTTTTGGTACAGGGATGTGGTGAAGCCATTTGCTGCATTTGCTCCCAAGCAAATGTCTGCCTTTCTAGTCTTGTGCTATATTGCCTATGTGGGTCTGTAGGTGGTACGTACATCCAAAGCAAAAGGCATTGTGTGACTTCATAGAATGGCCAAAAAGTCAGTCATGTTATGCCAAGATGTAGTTTCTATAAAAAACCCCAGATGAACTTAAGAATCTGAAGATTCTGATGTCTTAAGTGTAATGGATAACAGACAAGCTGTGGTAATGAGTCTTTGCATGTGGACCATTGTGTTACGCCCCCTATCTGCCACTGCTGGTACAACAGGCAGGTGCACCTGTCAGATCTGCACAAGCTGTAGTATTGAGTCTGAGCATGTTGACTGTTGTGTTATATGCATGTTGACTGTTGTGTTACGCTCCCTATCTTCCACTGCTGGTACGACAGGCAGGTGCACCTGTCAGATCAGGACAAGCTGTTGTATTGAGTCTGAGCATGTTGACTGTTGTGTTATATGCATGTTGACCATTGTGTTATGCCCCCTATCTTCCCCTGCAGGTACAACAGGCAGGTCCACCTGTCAGACCTGCACAAGCTGACAGACGTGGTTCAGGTGAAGGACCAGGGCTCTGCAGGGCGGGTGGTGTGCCTGACTTGTGTCCCCCTGTACCCCCCCGGCACACACCCCAGACTCACCCCCTCCCCTGCAGCCAGCAGCTCCACCACCACGGCCACCACTCTGTCCAGCGGCAGTCCTGTAGTGGTGGAGGAGGAGGAGGAAGAAGAACCCTTCTGCAAGATCCACTGTACACAGGACTTCCTAAGGTAGGACTTCCTTCAGCTGTAGACATGGCAGTGTTCTAGCCAGCCAGAAATTTTTTTCTCTCAGCTCAATTTTGTATGACATAACAGAAGTCAAGGTTTATTGCACAAGGATTGCAACAGGTACATGTACAGTGTATGGCAGATAGTAAGATTACTAGCTGGTATGAGTCTATGATAATTCTACATATAGGTTACGGGTACTATGTCTGACAGAATGTTGCATAGAACTACGGACTAAGAACTGTAGTAACATCATGTCGAGCACCAAAGGCATTACAATCCCACAGCACAAAGATTTGACCCTCAGAAACACTATTCTTGCATTTTGAAGGGGGGGGGGGGCAAATCTTTCTGGTAGACTATGCTCTTTCTACATCTTCACTCACCAATTTTTGTCAAAAATGATGCTTTGGGCAAAACTTTGGCCCGTGGTTACCGGTATTTAAGATAATTGCCTAGGGAAGTACTTCTTACATTTTCAACTGTTCAAACTCTCTGACCTATTTATTAATTACACTGTGTGTCCAGTACCAGGGAGGTGGACCATGAAAACTGCATGTTGCCCGACATCGTCCTGTCCCTGAAGGCGTTTGCTGCCCAGGTCCACACCCTGCTGCAGACCCACGACGGCAGGCTGCCACTTCTCAGCTTCCAGACCTGCTACAACAGCGAGATCGGCACCCTGCCCGTGGACGAGGGTGGGAGGGGGGTGCCTGTGGAACACCTGATCAGCTGTGTGCCGGGAGTGAACATCTCACACAGTCAGAGTGGCAACAAGACTGTCAAGTGGGCTCAGAACAGGCCTCCGCTTCCTCTGGCTGGTATGTTTTTAGGACTTCTGTTTCTGCATTGATCCTAAAGAAAAGCGTGAAACACTGCTGTAGAATGTGCCAGCAGCCTTTCCTTTCAAAATCGTCTGTCACTCCTGTTGAATTTTTTTGTCCGACAAGGAGTTGATTGTATCTTAAACCTTGTAGTTTGCCCTGATTGTGAGGAAAAATGCCAGTGGTTCTGAACACAACACAGGATGAATGAATGAACTTCATTGTTTGACAGAGTACAGGCAACAATAACAAAGCAATCAACACATACATGTATCTATTCAACATAGATCTATAACTTTTGTTTCCTTTTGGACTTTCACAAAGAAATGTTGTCTTTACTTATTTTCATATCAATCAATAGTTCGTACATGTACCTTTAAACCTACTTTTCTGACAACTCTCCAGTGTCACTGACTAAAGCTAGTGGATGCTACCTGAAATGTCTGGCTGTTTCTAAAATCATATCCTGTTGCTTGAGTAATTGTTTTATGACAGATATACATTGTATTCCCTTTACCACTATAATGATGACATGTTTCCCTGTCCCAGATGCCTGTTGGCCGAAGCTGCGTCCCCCCAGCCCTGCAGCCTCCCCCCAGCTGATCCAGTTCAGTCGAGACGTGGTTGACCTGCTGAAGACCGTGTCGTGCTGCAGACTGCCCTTCTCCCGGTTCATCCCCACCTACCATCACCACTTCGGCAGGCAGTGTAAGGTGGCAGACTACGGCTTCACCAAGCTGGTCGAGCTGTTTGAAGCTGTTCCACATGTGCTACAGGTAATTAATTAAAAGCATGGCTGTCAGCATTTAGCAAAGCATTTCAGATCAAGCTACAAACTGAATACTATCACTGCCTGAATTGAATGTTTCAAAAACAGTGCAATACCGCATTTGGTAAGATTAATGAACTTATGCATGATTTTAACACTCAGTTATTATTCTAAACAATCACTAAGTGACTTTCAGAGCAATTCAAGACCCAATTCCCAGGGACTTGCTATTCTGTACATTTAGTGCGGAATAAATCATTATTGTCATTGCACAAGATACATACTACCGGTATCAGTTTTGGAAATTTTCCGAGAAAATGTTGTTAAAAAAAAGAAAAGTAGGCAGAGAAAAGCTGAGATTAGTGAGAACTCCTTATTTGAATTACTGAGAATTAGTAAATCAGACAGATTATGGTACTTGGCTTTCTAAAATGTGAAATAAGATTAATTCCTTCTTTCAGCCCATTAGCACTAAAAGTGCAAGTATATTGTACTACAAGCACATTATCTTTCTTATATCTACATAACATAATTTTCCTCTGTCTCCATAGATCCTGGGCTATGGCTCTGCCCGTGTGCTGACCCTGACCCATCGCGCTCAGGTCAAACGTTTCACCCAGGACGTCCTGCGTCTGCTCAAGTCCCTGCCCAACAAGGAGGTGACGGAGGCGGAGTTTCCCGCGGCGTTCCACGGCTGTCACGAGAAGACGTGGGACGTCAGGGACTACGGCGTGTGTGAGGTCCAGGATCTGCTCTGTGAGCTGCCGGAAAACACTGTGGAGGTAGACACTTGTCTGTGCACTGTGCTTGTATTTGATATATCTATTATTATTAAGCCTGTTCAATGACAGTAAAGCTTGAACAAAAATATTGATGATGACTAGAAGAATAGTATTTGATATGCTTCTTCAGTGTACATTCAGTCTAAGTCAGTTTGTGGGCTCATTCGTATACTGTCTTTCAACAGATAAACAACACAGAAGACAACACTGTCATATCACTGCCTAGGAGAGGTCAGTACTTCATACATACCAGTAATTTACAATTGTAGATGTATTTTGTTCAGAACAAGTTTCTAGTTTACAATACTAGTACTAGCAGTGTAAAAATGCGACAGGCTGAAAGAAAATCAGGACTCCTGTTGATGAAATAGATAATGTAGGTAAACATTTTATGAACTGCCAAATATTTTTTTTTGTACGTTCATTTTCTGCCATTTGGATTTAGCAGCCATCCCCCATTTCTAACAATGGACTCTCCCTGACAGAACAAACCCCAGAGGAAGTGGAGCGTACCAAGCGGTTTGCGAGGGAGGTGGTGGAGCTGCTGCGTCGCCAGCCCCACTGCCGCATGCCCTTCAACAAGTTCATCCCAGCCTACCACCACCACTTCAGCCGGCAGTGTCGCCTGTCTGACTACGGCTTCAGCAAACTCATCGACCTGTTTGAGGCAGTGCCACAGGTGGTACAGGTATGTAGTGTCTGTGGCTTACATTTGGGTAGATAATGTTAGTTTGTTGTAAGTCACATTGCCTTTTACTCGTTTTAGAGGCCGTCGAGGCAGTTGTTGACCACATGTCTTCCGCAGTATTAGAAGGTGGAGACCATCGCTTTTCACTACCTTTTACTTCCCTGACCAAAAGTATATATAATGTGCTATATATCCATATAGTCAGGTACTCATACAAATACGGTATGTTGTTATAATGATAAATGTAATAAGGAGTTAAGAGAAAGTGTGAGCTCTTTACAAAGGCGAAATGCAGGGCTCTAGCCAGCACCAGGTTTTCCGTCAATTACAGGAACTTTGTGATGTGTGATGGAAAAATTTGTAAACCAATCTGTCAAGATTGATGGACAAAATTGACAAGAATATAGGGTAAAAATATACAACCAACAACCACTCTCAACCCCATGATTTGCCTCTCAGGATGTTGGAAATTGCGTTTTTAAAGGCTTGTACTGGTAGATCTATAATTTGTCTCTGAACCCCCTAGATTGTGAGCAGTTTACCCCAGGTCTAATCATGAACCGGGGCTGATGGAAAAAATTTTAACTGGCTAGAATCTTGGTTGACTGTTCATATTTGATGTTTACAGGTACTTGAGGGTGGTGAGGAGAGAAACTTGGTCCTGGCTGAAGGGGAGAGAATCAAGGTGCTGAGTTACCAGCTGGTGAAACTGCTGCGAGCGCAGAAGGACCAGAGACTGCAGCTGGGCATGCTCATCCCGACCTACGCGCGCATGTACGGCTACACACTACGGCTACAGGACTACGACGCTAGCTCCATCAGACAACTCCTGGAGAAAGTCACACATGTCGTCAGGGTATGTAGTAACATTATATAGTCAAGTTCATTTTTTTTAAAACTATATTCTGTGTACAAATATGGTTGTAACTCTCTGGCACAATTAATATTGTTGACGTCACATATCCGTAATGTTTTGTGTGAATAAGGTCACGTGTCTGGAACTGGAACTCTCGTGAGATTACATTTTGAAGTGATTGGTCATTAATTATCCTGATTAAGGCGAGAGTTATCGTTGAAAATTTTATCTCTATGTAACACTTGTGTTGGAATAAAGTTCAACATTCAACTGTGATTACTACCAGCGCAGATGAACTTTCATGATAAATATAGTTGTGTTTGAAAAATATTATTGAGTTATTGATATGAGACAGATGAAACCATACAAAATCGTACTACATTAATGAATATTGCTTGTAATCAGGTGGAAATTAGTGTGTCATTTAGTTTGATACTGTATGTGAAATCATAATGCAAGTGTAAGTGTTGTATAGATATTTGTACGTTGCTTGTATTTTGTAATCAGGTGGAAATTTTGTTTGATGCGTGCAATGATAATACATGTACACAGTATACTTACAATACATGTACAACATGTTTTATAATGAATGGCAATACATGTGTAAGTGTCGTCTGAATATCTGCCGTTTTTGTTCCCAGGTGGAGGCAGGTGTGCGTGGTGCGCAGGTGGTGCTGATCGACCGCAGACACCTGAAGCACCTGTCCCAGCTGGTGCTGGCACTGCTGATGGACACAGCTGACGGAACTGTTCCACTCAAGGACTTTCCACAGGTGTGTGGGGGGAGGAAGAAATGATTAGCTGATGAATACAAATTCTTTGTGTTGCACATCTACATAAGTTTATGAACAAAAAAAGATTTAAAGACTCTTTTTACCTAGTACCTACTTATTAAGTGTTTGATTCAGTCAGCGTTTTGGTGGCCATTTGTCTTCTCCCCTAATGCAATTCTGTCTGGTTCACTTGCCCTGAGGAGGGTGACAGATGGTCAATGACTGTTGGCTGAATAAAACACTTAGTTGTGTAATAAGTGTCTTCTGTTCAGTGACTTGCCATACTGATGAAAGTATTCACGAAAATAAGTTTATATTTTTTCACAGATAGAACAAATAGAAGACAGTTGACAATGATGAGAACTAACTTTGATACAGAAAGGCTATCACGGCTAGCAAGGTTAAAGATAACTGTGGGACACAGTTAGATGCAAAATTCTACAACACAAATATTGGCCTTAATTTTTAGTCCATGCTTCATAGTATGTTATGTATGATGTAAGCTAATCTTTTTTTATAATTGTAACTCTGTCTAGGTGTTTGTCCAGCGTTACCGGTACCCGTGTGACCCGAGGGAGTATGGGTACCAGTGTCTGGCAGATCTACTCAAGGCCATGCACCAAACTGCACAGGTAGGGGGTGCTGCAGTCATGCTGGGAGAAAAGTCAGTGTACAGACTGAAGTACCTGACAATGTTAAAAGAAATTTCTAGATCTCAATGAGTTTTGGAAAAACATCTTGATTGAATCTTTTAATCTTTAACTCCTGATATCCTTGATATTCTTTTTGGTACAAAATGTCACCAACTAGACATCCAGGTAATGAGATATGCCAAAAAACACTTATTCCGGCAACTGGATATGATTTTAGAAACCGTCAGACATTTCAGGTAGTATGCACTACCATGTGTCACTGACGAAAGGTGGTGGATGCTACCTGAAATCCCTGACTGTTTCCAAAATCATATCCAGATGCTTGAGTAACTGTTTTTTGGCGTACCTATTCATTTGTGTACAATTTACATAATATAAATTGCATTCCATTGCCAACAGACTCAATTTCTTGTCAGAAATTATGACGTACTGAAGAGAACTCTTAGAAATGATTTTTTCCCTCTGCAGCTGAAGAATGAAGGCAGTGAGGACTGTGAGTGTGAGGTGGTGCTGACACCGCTGTACCACTTCGCACGTGACATCAGGGTCATGCTGCTAGCCCGCCACTGTAGCGTCCCCCTGGCCACCTTCAGCAATGCCTTCCAGGAACACTTCAGACGCCCGTGTAGGCCCCAGCAGTTCGGCTTCTACAACATCCCAGCCCTGCTGGCAGCCATCCCACAGGTGGGCTTTTGAAAGCACGTTGACAAAACGTACTGCACAAAACACTCACTCACTGTCCGGTTTATTGTCTGTTTTCCCCCGTCTTCTGAGGGATAGAAATGCTTGCACGGCAATACTGAGGCTTGATGGCAGCCTGCCACTTGCATCTGTCCTGTGGGTTGACGTTTTGTAGGTTCAAGTGGTGGAAGTCCCCCTTACATTGTCAAACCATCCTTCCATTGTGAAACCCGTAATTGATTTGTGCTGCATATGCTAGATGATGGGAACATCTGTAATTGTTTGAAAATGTATGATAATCCAGACAAACATCTAATAGCACAGTCTGTGTAGTTCTTATTCTACCCTGTCAATTTTTACCTCCGGGGAAGGAGATATCCTTCCGCGAGGAGGTTTTACTATGGTTCGAAACATTTCTGTCAGCAGCTGTTTCTCGCGATCGGCTGGACGGATTGGTCTGTTGTTCGGTATACGTATTGCTATTGGGCTGCAGATGATGCAGAACGTTTTTGTTTAATTGCATATGTGTTTATGGGCGTCGAAATAAAATGTTTTTAAGTGCTCCGGACACCCCCGCCATGCTGAAAATGGAATTTACCATGTTGTTAAGGAATGGGGAGGTTGCAGTTTTGGGTCTTAGCATTTAAAAGGGGTCAAACAGAGGGGTGTCTGGTTCCGATAAATGGGTGACGGCGCAGCAATGACGGCGGGGGTAATGGTGCGGGTGACGGTGCAGGCTGTCAGACTGTGAGACACGTTAATCAACAGTCCATACCGAACCAACCGTCAGTAGCCATCAAACACATACAAACATATTACGCACATAACTTTCATACTACACACAAACAAATAACCTAAACCAATAGAATACAAAAAAAACCCGGAGGTTTGAAATCTACGATTTTCCTTGTTTATTTGTACAACTGTTACGTTAAGTTTACAGATGGCTTTCCCTTCACAGGTGGTGAATGTCAAAGGTAGAGGCAACAGGAAGGTGGTGGTACTGAGGCATGATATGAGAGGTAGGTGTTGACAATGGTAGCTAAAGTGTTAGATTGTATCATGTGCCTTTTCTTTGTGTGATTTAAAAAAAAATTAATTATGGGTATGTACATGGCTATGCATTCCAAATTTTTTTTTGGATTCAATTAACTTTCCCTTGTATACTATATACCTGCATGTATCATATCCACGGAATATTGCTGATGCTTAGAAGTTAGAACAAGACTAGTGTGCTCAGCTAGTACTATAAAAAATATATCACAGAGTATGGTGTTGTATGGTGGAGAGGAGATGAGGTCTAGGTCATAATTGAAGGTAGAGGATGAGCTGTACTCTGTGACAGATGACTTTATATATATATTTTTTTGTATCTTTTACAAAGCTGGAGCCCAGAGTTACCATCATGGTACAGGAGTACGTGGCAGTAGTTCAGGCACCACTTCACCATCCAGTGTGGACAGCAGCAGTAGGGAGTCGTCCAATCGTGGCTCTCCTACCTGTCTGACTGGGTTAGAACAGGGGCTGCCCGGTGCACATTCTCCCGAGTGCCTGCCAGAATCTGCAGAGATGCCTGCTGTCGGGGTGGCTGAGTGCCCGAATGCTGACGACACCCGCTCTTCCAGTGGTGTGTCTAGTGCTGGGGCACAAGAGACCGAACAAGGTAGGAAGAAAACTAGTTTGAAAAACTTATACATGTTGAAGTAAAGGGCAGCTTCAAGTGTTATAAGTCATTTCATTGCTCATACAACAAAGTCAATGTCTCCAGTGTACAGTAAAGACTCAGGTCACATATAGACAAACTAGCTCAGGCTTTCCTTGTGTATTGAGCTTGTAGTATGAAGAAATGGGATGTTAACAAGTGCACACTGCTATACAATGTGTGATGGTGTCCACTCCAGCTCAAATCATCCTTTCTTCCTCACACCAGGCCATCCCAGTGAGGACACAGCTGTTCCAGACCTGCTAGTTAAGGGCAGTGGCCAGGATGGTGTTGGGGATAGTCAGGAAGTCAGAGGTATGTGTTCAGCACCTATATATTTCCATGCTTTCGATTCGACATGTTTGCAGCGTAACACCGGCTTTGCAGATTATGGGTTGGGCAGATTAAGCAAACAACGGCCCATCAGATAGCTAACTAATATATAATTTCAATGTGTTTTTTGAGTGTAGCCTACATTCTAACAGAATTGATTGTTTCCTCCCAGACCTGATGTCCAGATCACCCTCCCCAGTTGACCTGTTGAGTGCACCCATCCCACCGTCCCTGCCGTCCCCGGTCATCTGGCCTGACCCAGTGACCGCTGCCGACACGAGTGACCTCATCAAGTTCACAGATTCACCGCCGCCAACCGCTGGTAAAACACTGGCTTCTGCTATAGAAAATTTATTATGTTTACCTTCGTAGAAGGAATCGTTTTTGCTTTGTTTCATCTCCTTCCCCAAACAAATAAAGTCAATGACCTGGACCAGCAGTCTGTCACCATGGCAACTAGTACTGTAGCAGTGTTGGGTCACATTATGTAGCAGGACAGAGTTTGAGAGGCTGCTCACCATATATGTGAACGTGATTGACGGAAACTGAGAAGTAGTTTGTTGAGATAGACCTTGTGAAGGTAAACAGCATGCCTTTGCTTGCAAATATAACAGTTACTCTAGTTTCTTAATTTGTGTTTATTCAAGTGGTAAAACTGCATACTTCAAAAGGTGTCTAAATGATGTCTGTGATAGCAACCAAAGAATAAAAAAACAAGACTACCAATATCAGCCCAGGTCTCAAACCTGAAAAAAGACAACTGATAGAAGATGTTGTCATTTAAAGTTGTCAGGGGCTTTTAACAACGATGTTGCTAACAATACATACTGACGTTAACAGTGAAGTATTGTGCTTGATTATCAAGACCTATTTATGACTTACAGGCAGTCTTGTTTCTTCACCTTTCAGGCAATGCGCAAGACGTAAAGAAACTAGGCAAGCTTGTTGCAGACTGTACCGAGTCAAGAGAAGACGCCGAGGGGGGAGTTGGAGATGTCAAGAAGATGGGCAAAGGACAGACGAAGGAGCAAAGGAGCGAGGGAAGGAAAGACGGAGGAGGACTGACGCGAGGAAGTGTGGTGAGGAGAAGTGTGAAGCTGGCAGCAGCCTTCTCAGAACCCCTGAAGACTTCACAGTAGGAGGAGGAACGGGTTGAGAGAGAGAGAGAGATCCAGCTTTTGGGCTGGATGCTGAGGACAAGAAGGTTTAGGAATGGACAATGAATGGATCGGTACGAAGACAGATAGATGTGCTTGTCAATGTGTGCAACAAAAACAAGAAGTCTGGGGGCTATATAGTTACAAACTTCTTAACACTGTTCAGTTATTGTACTCTACTAACTGTTTCTTTGTAAGTTTATAGAACATATTTCTTTAGCTTAAATACATGTCAGTCATGTAGCTTGTATGTTTAAGTTAATGCCGATATTGGAACTATGTTGTTATTTACTTTCATATTTCATATTACTGAAGCATCATACAGTAGTTTCTGCTTAAGATATAAGAGAATGGCGCTGTTGTTTCAGGTAAGATATTGTCACAATGTTCTAAAGCAATGCAGTGCAAATATTTGTGAGTCACAAAAGACATTTCTGGTCAACACGTCAAAGGCATTTTCCGACTTTCCTTTCTATGAATGTTAACTTCCAAATTACACCTGATTTCATGCACTTCAATTCTTCAGAAATGAAAGATATTTTGTTTTTGACCCCGAAACAGTGGAAAATAAAGAACTCGGATGGTATGTGGTACATTAAATTGAAAAGAAAAATATTTGAGTAACAAAAAAAAGTGGTTGCTTTTCAACTCAAGCTTACATAGGGCTTTAGGTTACATTGTGTTTTGTTGTCTTGTTTTGTTTTGTTTTGTGGAGAGATTCGATATTGTTTTCCTTCCTGTTTGTGTTTATGATAGGATGTCTCGGCTAAAGCAATGTCAGAACAACATCTCTGTTTATAGTTTGTTATATTTTCTATAAGAAAAATCTAAATCAAAGAGAGCTGGTGCATGACATTTTCTAAATCATCAGCACCAATGCCTTGTCTTTGAATTCATGAGAACTGTCTCTTGTGGCACTCGGTTTGCACATCTTGTTGCCACTTGTTACAAGAAAAAAATGTGAGAAAGATTACTTTGTGCAAATCAGTTCTTTCACATTTCTATTTGCAATTCAGTTTTGCATCGCCTTTGCATCTATTGTATGTTGTGCAGACAGTTGCTTTCTTCTATATGTTGCAGTGTTATTTACAGACTTGCACTTCTGACATGCATCCTATTTCCATTGCAATGTCATATGCAAAGAGTACGTTGCGGATTTTAGCGAGAAAGGCAATGTTGCAGTTTTAACTACATTAAGTGCAATCATTTATGTTTTGTTGATGTTGCTGTATCATTTTATGTGTCAGATTAATGCTCTTAAAGTTGCTTAAAAGCCACAACTACTGTACAATATACGGGTATAAGTTGCTACAAACCTTGCTCTTAACTAGGGTACATGCCATCGTTAGTAAAGTTATGGCTAGAAATGCTGTCACAGGTTTTGGTGGGAGACTAGACTTGGGCTGAGACCTGTTTATTTTATCTCGCTGGTATGGCCAGGCTTTCGCCTCACTGCCTCGGATAGCGAGTTTTTCTTCCGTATGTCCTCTGGGACATAGTCTCCTTATATTTGCGTCCCGAAGTGTAACTCCCATCTTAGTTTGTGACATGCTAAGTACCTTGCCTTGGCTTGGTTGTTGGGACTTGCCCCATGCCTACACACATGTACGTTTTGGCATATCACATCAGCACAGTATGGCTGATGTCTTCAGGGCCCCAACACACACCTACTATCCTCCCTGCTTGTCCCACATACTGTCAAATAGGGCTGTAAGGGACATGTTCATGTTCTTTTTCTCGAGAAAAGGAGGATTTCTTTTCAAGACCAAGTCCACGTGGCAAGGTTATGCAAAATGATGTCTGGATTAGGAATATATGTTGGAAGAGATGGCTGTCCTAGTTAACTGCACTGCTATTTAGTTAAGGAAATATCATTTGTTCAGAAAATTCCCATCGCATTATGTTTGTGCATCTATGTTAGTAGTAGCAAACCATTGCCCACATTTTGGGGAAGTATCATGTTTTGTTCAAGTTGGTATCAGACACAAATCATTAATTAAGTTCTGAAGCAAAAATAAATATGTACTTCTGTGTATTGATACTATTCAGAGTATAACAGAATGCATGTTAGGCACTTGAGATTACAAAAAACCATGTGCACCTTTGTTAAACCATCAAAGAAAAATTCAATTTGAAAAAAAAAGACATCAGTGTCTGAAAAAGAAAGAATTGAGTGCATCAAGCCAGACCCACAAACTGAAGAGAGTAATAAAAAAAGTATAAGACAGCCATCAAGTAATACATGTAATGAATATGCTTCAACGTCAAAAGATGCTGACTGAAGTTTTATTCTTTTATCATTATTCATTTCATTACTTTTCTATAGCATCATTATGAGAAAAAGACGAGCAATTGTGTACAATGTCTTCAATCATGAAACAAGCCAGTACAATAACCTTTGCTTCAAGTGACACTACTTACATTGCTGTATCTTATCCTAATTTTTTGTTATAAAAACAAGCTACTCACACATTTATTCATTGACATGTTTAACAAAGCCAGTATTCAGATGTATTATCTCTTTACCATACCAGTACAAATTATGGTAACTTACAAACCTCATGACATCAGTACATAATAACAATAAAGCCTCCAGACCCTAACTGCAACTTGAAATAGTCTTTGTTCCTTTCTTCATTTTGTCACGAACCATCGAAGTACATTTTGTACCAAAAACCACTACATATAACATTATGTATATAGTGACACTGAACATCATAAAGATATAACCAAGGGCATTAACAGTTAACGTTATATATTAAGTCCTTGATATAACTGTAGTATAAGTAACCATTCCTCAGTTCATTCATGTAAACATCCACAGAAGAGGCAGGGTGTATATGTATTATGTCAGCTTAAAATTCTTTCGTTGAGTAATACTTAGTACCTTGATAGAAACCTTACCTTGACAGAAACTACACTTTCGTATTTGAAATTTTATTGATGATAAGCATATTTCTTGGACAATAATGTTAAAACACTGGAGAGGTTTATTGGGAAAAATTATTTCTGAGCCAGTCCTCAAGGAAAGAATTCAGTCCTGGTGGGAATTATTATGGAGGAAAATGTACTGTATGCTGGTGCGAATCTGCACTTACGCAATCACTGGCTACCGTCTGCCTGTTTCCTGGTGCGAATCTGTAACCAGCCAATGACCCGCTAGTGAAGAGAGGTGTGTCCTCCCGAACAGGTCAGAGGTCACGTTAAGGTTGTGTACACGGTGCCATGGTTGTGCAGGTATGTTTGCGTGCGAGATCGCCTAGATTCTTGCGTCTTGATTCGCTTAGACCGTGATCTAAAGATTGTTCCGACCCGAGACAAAGGAGCGGGGCGGTTCTGGATCAAGTGGAGCCTGGATTGGAAGGCAGAACGGTCGCAGGAAAGAACTGAGTTGAGCGACACAGTTTTTTTTCGCGACTAGGATATCACAGACACTAACGGTGCCTTCCGGAGTTCTAGTTTTGTGGACAACGTAGTTTCATGTTTTAGTAGATCAGAACACGATCTGGGTAGTTTCAGGACCTGATTTTGTTCACCAGGAAGATGTGAAGAAGGAATACCGTCTTCGGCGTTCGAGGTAACTCAAAACAGTTGTTCATGAGTATAATCATGGAGGTTAGAACTCCATTGTATAATTTTAGACAGTATGGGTCCATTTACATGCTAATCTCTACTACTAGCTACTAACTTTGCTCAGGTAAAGAATGTTTACAATGCAGGAAGTGACCCATCATGTACTGTGATAGTAACGACCATCACTCAGTTCAGTTTTGTTCCTTAAGTTAATTGAGCTTTACAGTTGCATTTAGGAAGAAAATTTTGCATTGCCAAACTTTCCTTCCGTAACTCCATTGCTACCAATTTTACAATATTGTGTGTGCTTATTGCTATAGGCTGTTACACATTTCTAGCCTTGTGACAACAATTGCAGGTATAAACATAGAAAAAAATGATATATGTATCAGACTTCTATAACTCAGAAATATTCTTTATAAAGTTCGATCGAATGAGAAAAATTCTTTGTATACAACTTAAATAAAAGTGTCCACATAAGACTAGAAGACACATTTGTAATGTTAACTGCCATGCCAAGGCATAACTACAAGTACAACAGTCAAATTTTATAAGATGTTTGCTTTGGAAATAACAATTGTTTGGTAGCTGATATACATGTCGTTATTACTAATTTTTTTCTTTGCACAGATAGAAAATGGCTTCCAGCGTTCCATCCATCCAGGACAGAACTCTGAACTTTGATTTTGACATTCTGAACGCCCAATTTAACCACAATGGGCGCTACTTCCTGAAACTGTCGGTAAAGAACCCCATGTTTGGTGTGGACGGCATCTCTGTGAGACTGAACGATGCAGAACCAGGACAGGAAAAGGACGAGGCAGAGGAACAAACGGGTAGGTTGTTTAGTGACACTTAATGGTTTCATGTATTGCTGTAAATCAAAGACTTGCTTCAGGTAACTATATATAGCATCCATATTTAGCATCTTTTCCACTGAGGCCACTGTGTTTTCTGTTTCCCGACCGACCCTAGAAAAACTGCTGACCCTAGCCTTTTTAGGTGGACCCCTGCAAGGGACATAAAGTTTTTGACCCGATTGACCATTTATTTAAGCTCCATGATCTGACATCTGAGTGATGAAACATTGTACAATCGGTTTTCCAACATCGAAAATATAAGTGCCCTCATACAAGTTTTACTTTATTGCATACGCTGCATGACTAGAGATCGACAAAGTCTAATAAAAAAGGAAAGAAAAAAATCCCCACCAACTGGCCCTAATTTGTTCTGGACTTAAACAGGAAACACAATATTTTGTTCCTTAAGGCCTTATGTAGCATCTATTGCACTGATACATAAAATACAAATTGATGCATTTACATATGTTGTTTCTGTTGCAGATATTGTGGAGCAGACTGATATCGATGCCCTGTCCACCTTCCAGAACCACAAGTTCACCTTCCTCCTGCCCAGAGGTGATCATTTATTTTAATTACATTGATGTATAACTTTTAAGTGTTAGTCTGGGTACCATCCTGGTTATTTTACGTCTTCTTAGCACAGCAGTCGCTACCCATATTGATGTATAGCAACTATTAGAGAGCAGACATAAACCAACCAGGATGGTACCCAGGCTACATAAATGTAGCTATTAGGCAACAATGTAATTTATCAGTTCATGAATTAAGATCAATGCATCCGTAAATAATTTTATCAGGTTAGTAAATGATTGAATATTAAAGTTCTTTTATTCACATGCATTCGTTTTACATGAGCCAACTGAGGAACCTAGTAAAAGAAATGGTTGTGTATAAAAGAACTTTTTTTAAGATTAATACAGCTGTACATGAAAGATCAACATCGAAAAACAGTCCAAATGGAAAAGTAAACAACTGGCATCAGTAAGTGAATTTTAGTGACATTCAAGTTTTCTACCCTATACTGGAGGAACAAAATCTAGGGCTGGCAAAAAAACCTGCCAAGAACCAGGGAAATAGATTGATATGGCTTCAGGAACTGACCATGAAGGATTGCTATAGGGGGCAAATACTGTATTGTTTTCTTTCCATCATTGTTTTCCACCAACCTCTGAATGATCCTTCAAGTCATTTGATCCTCCCACTTAAGCTTGTACAACCACAAAGCACATATCATGAATTTGATCCAGACTCAACAGTGGAATGCAATTTTATTTTTGTGGGAGACTTACTAGATAAGACTTATGTTATGATAAATTGTTTCATATTTTTATACAGTAATGGGTAATAATGACAATGGCAAATTCAAGAATTCTCATGTTGCCCAATGGATTTGACATGCTGTATTTAATTATGTGGGTTGAAGTAGTCAATCAATTGCCAGTCAATGACATTGACTATCAATTACATCGTACTGAATTCTTTTGCACCCATTTCATTACTTTAGTGAAGCACACAACACAGATTCACAGAACAACATAGCCTTTGTGGTTGTTTTTGGTTTTTTAAACATCATTTTACATTGAGGAGTATAACATCCTCAACTGATTCATAGTTGGAACAAAGTGTTTCATTTTGTAGTGGTGACATTAAGTCTCTTCAGGACTGACCCACTGTTACAATGAGTCTTGTATCCTGGCAACTCACTCCATTGAGTATACACACTGCTAGGATATAGGGAAAGTGCATAGCTGTGTGACATAGCAACACTTTCATCACAGGGATATACTGGTCTTCAGTAAATCATTAATGTTTGTTGAACAAGTGTTTTCTGTAGATGGATCAGATCACTGCATGAATTTAAGTGTTATTAACTACTGTATTATGTATAATGCTACACCAACCCCTTTTTCAAAAACAAACATTTTAGATCAATTGATTAAGCTTGGGATCATGGATTATGTTGTAAATAGATCCAGGCACTTCAAAGCAAGGCCAATGAAAGCTTTACAAAATGTTAAAGTCAAAATGATGCTTTTCATATGGTCCAAATCAATGAAATCAACACACTGAAATGAAAATATCTAAATGTAAAAAGTTTCCTGCTATCTCCAACCTATACCTGATAGATTCTATTTCTGAATCATTGAATTCCCTTTGAAAGCTTGCCATATACAATTTGTACCTGAGTGTATACTACTAGTGCTAGTTAAGCTGTTTAAGAGGCCTAAACTAAATGTAGAATTATCAGGTCGTAGGATATATGCCAAATTAGAAACAGAGAGTAACTGTCCTCATGTGACTATACCAATATCATACAGTCTCTTCTTCAATATTAAGCTTATTTCATTCCTCAGAGACCAGTATACATAATAATGATAATCGTACATGTAACTAGTGGAAGGTCAGCACCATACATTGTATGATTGATAAAAAGATCATAGATTCCATTTTCCTTGCCCCTAGGTTTCTGTAAGAATGATGAACAACATGACGTCTTCCTACTCCTGGAAGCCTTCAGCCTCCCTGCAGACAGCAGTGCAGCTGGCCACAAGGTCGGGGAGGCGAAGTTTGCCATCTACCCCCGCACCAACGCCCCGCGGATCAACCTGAAGGCAAAACACCACGAGGACTTGTACAACTACAGTGGAATCATGACTCTACTGAGGACACTCAGTACGGAGTCTATATCCATGCACTGTGGTCGGATCAAGTATCACGTGTCCTTTCACGATAACAGAGATAAAGCGCCACAGCCTCCGCGACAACCGACACCACCAGTACGCCAACCACAGCCGAGAACGCCAACCCCTCCCCCTCAACCACGGAGAGTGAGAACACCAACCCCCTCCCCTCCACCACCGCGAGAGCCCACACCCCCTCCTCGTGAGCCGACGCCCCCTCGAAGAGAAGAGCCCCCCTCTCGACTAGATTTTCAGGTGGAGTCGCCGGTACCCACAGATGGCCCAGCTAGGAGGGTACTGTGTTTTCTTTGTGATATTCTTGCAGTTTTATTTCTGGCAAATACTTGCTTGTCACAATTGATGATTTGTTTGACACTGTTAAACATTTTGTTGCTGTTGAGGATTTTATGTCATGATAATTTGTCATGATGATTTTATGTCAAGATTTTATGTCATGGTTTTATGTCATGATTTTATGTCATGATTCTATGTCATGTTCTGATAAAGTTCTGTTCTGTCATGTCAAGAAAAAACATCATACATAGTTCAAATAGAAATTATTTGGCTTCATGTTATCCTAAGACCAATCTCCTTGCATTGCGAGTAAGCTGTTTCTGACTTTTTCCCTGACAGACCACAGACTCTGCTCTGGGTGACTGGCAGAAGCCAGGGATGTATGACTCTGGGTTTGCACACGTTGCTGTCCCGGGGAAGACTGAGCTGTACGTGATCCTGCACGGTGCCAGAAACCTGCCTGCTCTGGAGGACGGTCGTCAGCCCCTGCCTTTTGTTGCAGTGTAGGTTTACAGAAATTAGCATTTATCCACCTAAGGCCACATCAATTTTATTTGTTGGTTCTCAGATTTTTTTAGAAAAAATATGAAGCGACAGGAAAAAAACAGACTTACATGTACATGAGCCATGAAGTCAAGATACCAGGCTAGTTTGTAATGCAAACAATGAATTTCAAGCTTTTAATCAAACCAGTGCATTAATAGATGGAAAAACTGCAGCAACTTTGAAGAGAAGGGACTTCCTTCAACTGTTGGGGCCAACATATGAGCATTTTGAGTTGAAAATAGAGGCTGAAATGTTTTTTTGTTTGTTTATTTTTTTTGCAAATCAGAACAAAATGAAGTGGGTGAATCCGTGAACCAACAAATTAAATTGTTGTGGCCTAATGATGCAATATGAAATTTATACTTATGTTAGATATGCAGAAGTTTGCTAAGTATCATCACAGACAATTTATATACATTGTAGATATATTGTATAATTAAAATGTAATGATTGATAATATCATACATATCAGTATTATATTTGTTAATGTGTAATATACATGCATTTATTACAATGTTATTACAGTAACAGGGTTTTACATTTAGTTACTCTATCAGAATATGACTTCATTCTGCATTCGTTTAGCAGTGATATTATGCTTTTTTTTTTTCAGGAAAACTCGTAGTGATGAGCTTGCTAACCGCCCTGCCCAGGGTACAACACGCACACCGATGCAGGCCACACATCTGCCCTGGTGGGAGGAGGGAGTCAACGTGGTCATGCCGGAGTCAGGGGCTCAGGACGACGGTAGGGTCACTGCTTCATCTGATTCTTTTCCTCTTTTGCTTCTATTTCTAAAGAAATGTTTTAATAACAACTCCAGGGCTCGAAATACCTGTAACATGCAAATTTGAAGTTGTGCACCCAATTTTTTTTCTATTGCTTTTATTCTTTATGAATAAAACATTTACTATTTTTTGCTTACATTCTACTTATTTTATTTTACATGGTGCACCCCCCCCCCAAAAAAAAAAAAGTTTTGGGCACCTATTCCCAAAAATTTCGAGTCCTGCAAAATCTGTTTCTTTCCCTCTTTTGCCTCTGTTTCTAAAGAAATGACAGTCTTCTAATTATACAAAAACTTTCATTATTCTGCTGGATGCCCTTAAACTGACATAATATTGAGGTGTTTTTCTTATTTTTGTGCAGCCCTGATGCTGACAGTTGCAGACAGCCCGACCAAACAGGTGTTGGTTCAGTATGAGTTACCTGTTCACCACCTCAAGCCTTTCCACCAGTACCATCTGGAACTGGTCAAGGTTAGTATCAGCACAGTAGAGTAAAGATGTTAGAGTGTCTTTCATACAATGTATCTCTCACCTTTCTGCCTGTATTTATGTTTGCCAAAGGAAAACATAATAATTTTCACTGTTTCTTCTTCCTCTTCTTCAAACAAATAAGGTCAATGACCTGAACCAGATGTCTGTCACCATGGTAACTAATGTTGGCTTACATCATGTTGCAATTTTATAGCAGGAAGGATTTAAGCTCCTCTTTGACCATACATATGAATGTGTTTGAGTAAGAATTAACAGAGCAGAGCATATGCGAAGGTAAACATTTTGCATTTGCTTTTTAAATGTTTGATTTCTAGTTAATCTTACATTCAGTACTTAAAAAAATATCTTTAAAAGATCTAACAAAGTCTTAAACATGACTTTAAAAAATCTCAAAAATAAAAAAAAATTTTAAAAGTCTATGGCTGAAGAGCTATGAGACTGAGGGAAAGAGGGACGATAGAGAGAGAGAAACATGAACTTAAGTCCATTCCAAGCCACATTTCATTTAGCAAAATACTAAGTCTTGTACATGTATATTTTGATGGGTCCATCATGTATTGTCCTGTTGTAATGAAAATGACAATGAAATCATATGTCATGACCTCCTACAGCATAGCAAAGCCTCCAAGGATGGTGCACGGTTGTACGCCACAGTTATCCGTAAACACAGCGTGCTTCCCAGACATCCAACATTCATGTACTGTGGCCTGGAGGTAAGTACTTAAATCTTATAATCTTATGTCTGGGCATTTATTACATGTATTTATTACATGCATGTAGGATATGTTCTCCTTTGTTGTAGTACAGAACATGTCATCATGGTAGAAGGCTACTGTCCTTGGTGCTGAAGTACTGTAGTACCTCACTTCTTTTTATCTGGTTTGCCTTGGATAGATAACTTCCTATATTACGTATAGCTCAGTGAAAATTTAATACTAAAATATTTATTTCCCTTTTGAAATGTTGATATGTTATCATGTAAGATGTTTTACTCCTACTTTGATATAGTACAGAACTTGTTATAATGCACGGCTACTGTCCTTGGTGCTGAAGTACCTAATTTCTTTTCAAGTTGTTTAATGGCCTTTGATACATAATTTCTCTTGAAAAGCTCACTGAAAATTTACACTTTTCCTGTATAGTTAGATGTTGATGATGAACGGCTACTGTCCTTGGTGCTGAAATACCTAATTTCTTTTCAACTTTAGATTTTTGGCCTTGATGGCCTTGGATACATGGCGTCTTACGTATAGCTGACTGATAGTTGATTTTTTCTTTGTCATTTTGTAATGTTTTTATTAAACGTCCTGCCTGTTTCCTGCTGACAGGTATTCCTGCGAGCCATGGAGCGTCCTGTAGAAAACCCAGTCGGCCCTCTTGTGGCAGTTGCACGCATCGTTCCAGACTACCACAACTACAAGTAAGAGCTTCTTTTTCATGCTCTAGTGTAGACTTCAAGGTCAATCTCTGCCTTTTTATGCAATCCAAGTTTGCCGCCGTTTTATAGCACAGGATATAAATTTTCCTTATGCAATAGAGTTTTAAAATTCTTTAAAAATTTTTTTTGCAGTGATGCCCACACCAATTTAATTTGTTGTTTCACACCAACAATGCCCACACCAATTTAATTTGTTGGTTCTCGGATTCGCCTCTTAATTTTTTTTCAGATTCTGGTTCTGGATCAACTAAAAATGCTCATATTTTGCCCCCAAAGTCCTTTTCTTCCTAGTTCCTGCAGTTTTTCCATGTATCAATGCAGTGGTTTGATTAAAAGTTCATTGTTTAAACATTAACCCAGCTTTTTGTGTTGACTTCATGGCTCCTATCATAGCATTTGGAGCTATCATACGATGCCTAAACCTGTTTTTATTTTCGCCCTGTCACTTCATATTTTTATGAAACCATTAAATTGGTGTGGCCTAAGGGTAAAAAGTGACTTTTGTTTCTATGACATTGCCTAATATTTTATATTACTTGCTCCCACAGAGAGGATGTTCTGATGGCGTCACCTCGGTCTGCCAATGTGACCTTGATGACCGTGACCTTCCCCTCCCCTCACCCGTCTTCCTTCATCGTCCCTCAGCACCAGAAGGGTGGATATCCACAGGTACGTGTGGTCCCTGGACATTCCTGATGTACAATTTGTACAATCTTTTTATTTTGTTTTTATTAATATCAATGACATTGACTTTTCATCCTGTTTCAACTACTAGTCTTGTAGTTCATCCAGCATTGTTGGCTGTCAGTTGTAGTAGTAATAATATTATAATAAGTAGTAAGTACCAGTAGTAGTTATTGTAGTTAGTAGTTAAATGGTTTTATTCACAAGTTACAGTCACTACACTAAAGTCTTACAAGACACTTGGTAGCAGCCTTTATGTTGAATTGGGGTTGCTCACAATACCAACTATCAGTAGTAAGATCCAGCTCAAAAAGTACTAATAATAACATGTACTAATAATAACTAATAAATGAAAAATATTTGAGTTGAATTAGAAAAAGAATATGTCAGACCATAACAATATACATGATGTATTACTTCTAAAATAGCATTCTATGTCATACAGATTGGGAGGTGACAAATTAAAGGACAATTAAAATCTGACAATGTGACACAGTTGCAGTGAGGTATCTATCAGTATTGTGCATTTAGTGATTAATGATAAAGAAAGCAAGTCATGAATGGGAGAGCATCATTCTTGTACTACTCAGTTTTACAATGCTGTGAGTCCAGATTGAACAGTTCTCCTGTCCGTTGTTTGTTTCCAGGTGAGCCTGGCAGCCCGTCCTGATGAGCAGCCAGTCTGGAACCACTCCTACCTGTTCCACCACAGCAGAGATAATGCTACCATCTTCTCACCTACCTCTGCACTGGTCATTGAGTACTATCCAGCCTCTTCAGGTAAGGACTGGCAAAATGTAAGGAGGCCATACTCACACGTGCTGCTTACGTACGGGGTACGCGCATCACCCGTACTCGCACATACAGGTGGTGAATCCCTTGTGTGATGGTATATTTTTGCTGCCTTGTACCTACATCATGTAGAATCACAAGTTGTTAAACTCATCAAATATTCTGTAACCCATCGATAACACGTTGGTTGGATGTTATTCTGGCTGGTAAATGCTATACCATGTAGTAATGACTGCTTGGCTGCCTTGAGTGGCTTCATGCTAAAACACAGGGGCATAGAGAACCATGCAATCTTCATGCTCCATCCAAAGTTGATGAGTCTTCTGTTTTTCTACACAGTTGTGAGTGAGTCGAGTTGGCACATGCGCAGCCCTATAGGTTTCTCCTCCATACTGCTGGACCAGGATGTGTACCATGCTCTGACGTCAGAGCCAGGGAGGCTGGGTGTGCGGGTGGATGGTCTTCTCATACAGGTCAGTATAATATCATCAGCATCATTGGCCTGCTTCTGTTTCAGTTGGTAAACAATGGGTCTGTATATAAGGCTGCAGTTCATAAGGTTGCAGAATGAACATGTCATAAAAATGAAGGCTCCAAAAATGTATAATATTATATACTAGTTTAAATTGATCCTTGAGGTTTTGCCTATGCAGAACAGACGATAGTACACACAGCATGTGTACAAGTGATGATACCTGTTACAGATTAGTTTACAGATACAATGAGTAATCAGTCTTTTCCATTTACATGGCTTCAATCAAGAGTCATTAAATTTTGTCTTCACTCTTCTCATTCAGATTTTTAGTTTGCTTCTTCTTCACTTTGTATTTTACTATAGATTTGCAAAGACAGCTATTAAATGATCAATTTATGATTCATCAAAAGTTTTTCTTCTGAATCAACACCTCAGCTTCTTCCTTGTCACTCTTACTATTATATAGATCTCTTCTCATCTCTTCTCTTCTCATCTCTGGACATTCTTACAGAGGTAAGCCTTTACTGTCTCTCCTTGCATGAGTACTTTGAGTACCAAGTAAAGCTGGCTGTGCTAGAAAGTTCACTTGTAAAGTGAACATATGTTAAGGATCATACAATCATGTAATGTTTGAAAGGCTTAGTGCTCAATGTTGCTAATCTGAAAAAAAATACATACAATCTTAAAATGAGGTGTTTATTTACCTATTTTTCTATTTTTTTTTTCTATATCTATAGGGTACAAATCTGAGGACCCAACCAGGGAGCCTGCCCACAGTTGGTGCCATCCTGAGACTAATAACAACAGAGGTGAGTAGTAAAGATTAATAACCTAGAGACCAGACGTATGAATGACTTTACAACTCATCACCCATAGCAGCATTATTTACCTCCACCCTTGAGTTAATAGAATCTGTTGAAATTCCGGTGTTGTCCATAGGCACATAGTGTTGAGCTCTGACTATTGCCAGGGAACTAACAAATTTGAAAGAAAAGTCAACATGTGAAAACTAAGTAACTGTTGGAAAGGTAAGAAAGCTATTAAGTTATGATTCTTTCTCATATTGCTCAGAGGCGAGCTTTCTGTACAAGGTATACCTTTTTGTCTGATGAAAAGCTTGAAAATGTAGATTCTAGAATAATGTACTACATTACTAGCCATGTGATGTTGGTAACAAAAGCATTTAGAAGTCTTGGGATTAGGTGTAAAGTTCGCGACGCATGTCTTCAATTCATCAGTAGTTAACATGGCTAGAATGTGTCAATGTGCTAGTTTTCTTAGTTTTAATGCATTATATTTATCGATAGTTACTTCACATATTACAGAAGAAGAAATGTCACACCTGAATAAGACTAATTCGTTGGAACTTTACATTGTAAACTTGAATGGTTTTGTCAAATCCTCCATCTTCAAATCGTTTACTGTACATCAATCAGCTTTCTAACAGCTTATTAGTTCTGCAGTCATTCTGTACACGATTTATTACTGTTACTGTAGTATAATGCAATTTTAATTGATTTCTGTCACACTCACACACTTTTAAGTACAGATGTAGGTTAATTTATTGTCCTGCAATGATGAAACAAATATTGGCACTTTCTTGTTACCAGTACCTCAAATATAAGCGGAACAAAGTCTTTTTTGTTCAAATTCTGTCTATAGATGTTTGCCAGCCAACAGTACATAATATATGTTGCACATACATGTACATTTGTATATGTGCACCATGTCTGATACATTTTGCTTTGTGAAAGTTATGAGACAAAGATGATTTTGTACATGTCTAGTACATGTAGTTTGATATAATATTTTTGCTGCTTTTTGCTATCTACATGTACATCATGGAGGGTTAGAAGCGGTTAAACTCATCAAATCTGCTAGACTACTAGTAACCCATCAAACAACACGTTAGCTGGATGTTATTCTGGCTGGTAATGCTATACCATGTAGTAATGACTGCTTGGCTGCCTTGAGTGGCTTCATGCCAAAACACGGACTGAAGCATGGCGAACCATGCAGTCTTCACGCCCCACCAATACCTCATGTTACTGCAGCGCCCTGACGGACTCATCGCCGCGGCCAGTCCGGAACTCCTGCCGTCGCTGGACTCGCTGGTGGACGGCGGTTTCCGCAGACCCATCTCTCCCCAGTTTGTGCCGCCATCGCCGGCAGATGACATGTTTGACGGCCTGGACGACGTGGAAACTGGCCCGAGTTGGCGCCGCAAAAATAAACCCAGAAAGGTAAGTAAGGAAAGCATGCCTATATCCAGGATTTTGAATGGGGGGTATTTTACTTTTTGTGCTATAGCCGCAAGGCAAGTGCCGAAGGCGCGAGGTTCCTAGGGGGGTCAGGGGCCCCTAGTAACCTCGACTCAGGGGGCATGCTACCTCGGAAAATTTTGAAAAATGAACCTTCTGAAATGGCATTTTTTTTCTTTTTGTGCATTTTTGAGAGGATTTCAAAGAACAAATCAGAGATGAATTTTTATTCAATGACAAAGGAAGCAGTTTTTCTACAATTCCAGTCCATCTTTTAACGAAAAATCTTGGACTTTTAGATTAAAAAAGTGGACCAAAAAGTGGATCTTTGAGCCTTGTGGTGGGGTTTGTCAGAACCCCCCCAAACCCCCCTGGCTACGGGCATGGAAAGTTTCACATGGCCTAAGATTGGGTAAATACTCAGTCATCATAAGCTGACATACATTTTGCAGTCACAGGTTTGTCAAGTAACTTGAGTTTGCAATACACACACACATCAGTATATACTAGTCTGGTATCTTCATCTTTTGTTGCTTTCTGTAGTAATACTCATCTTCCACTTTAGTTTAGAACTGATAACATTGCAATGTAGACATTATTTTTGAAAAAAAGGCCTATTATGTTTTGTTATACATATATATTGCTATCAGCTTGTGCAATATTATCAGTGACTGCAGAACTTGATAGCAGTATAGGAAAACCAATTGGCATAAGTCTAGAAAAATCTGAAGTTTAGAACTGATGACATACAATGTAGACATTATTTTTGGAAAAAAAATGGGCCTACAAAATGGGCCTAATGTTTTTATTGTTATGCACACAATGTCATTTTTTGTACATATTGCTATCAGCTTGTGCAGTATTATCACTGTCCCCAAATTAACCACAGCACAAGCCTAGAAAGATTTGAAGAGATTATTGGTGCAAGTTTACTTTACAGTCAAGAAGCATGAAATTTTAATACTGTGATAATATACATTTATTTGAAACATTTAATATTTGATTAGTAACAAATCTTACTGACTTCCAATAACTGAAACACAGTGACTACATTATTGAGTTACAGAATAAGTGACTGATTTTATAGTCTCCCTCCTTCAGTTGGTCTGACATTGACCAATGTGTGTGACTTGTGTTAGGATCTGTAGATTAGCTTGAAGAGTTGTTTGTGTTCCACCCGAACAGCAAATTCCATTCTTTCATCTCCCTTTGTTTAAGTTATGCCAAAGGTGTGTGCAAGTGGAAATGCCTTAAGCTCTACCCAAAGCCTCAGAGTTCAAAGCAAGGCTTTTTATTCTGATGAAAAGTTAGAGCTGAGTAGACTCAAGTGCTTTTTCAATTATGGGGTCGAAGGTCTTGAGAATTCCGTCGTGAACATTCGCACCGTCTGACGGTTGCCTGGGAAACGCCAAGACGACAAAAGATGTGTTGACTTTACCTGTCGTCATGGTTTGGAGAAACAGGTGTGCTGGCACACCTGGAAACATCGCCTTGCGAATTAAAACCAGCATCCTTTTTTCAATGGAAAAGTGGCTGATCCATTGTTCTAGCCAGCCAGAATTTTTTTTCCAGTCATTTGGTCTTGTTTGATCTAACACCATTTTGACACGTAGGTATTTGGGCAATCCTAAGGGGTGTCTGTTGGTATGTTCCCTCAGAAAAAGTTTGAAATCTTGACCCCCTGAAATGCTATTTCCTGCATTCTAAGAGACATATTTTACTGGTAGGCTAAAAGCTTACTTTAATGACATCATGTCTTTCCACCTCTTTAAATGCTATTTTTTGTCTGTCAAAGATGACAGATTGAACAAAAATTCTGTCCATCATAAGTGGCAAAATTATGTACAAATGACAGAAAGACAGATGCTCAGGCTACAACACTGATCATATTTTTCTGTCAAAGTTATGAATAATTAATGACTTCAAAAGCTTTCTCTCAGTCTATTCTCCTGCCCCAGACAAACATGCACAGGCAAACCCACTACCAAAATAACACCACCCATCCTTGTCAAACACTTAGCCATACAGAGTTTGTGCTCTTGTACAACACTGATCATAATTTTTCTGTCAAAGTTATGAATAATTAATGATTCAAAAGCTTTCTCTCAGTCTATTCTCCTGCCCCAGCAGACAAACATGCACAGGCAGACCCACTACCAAAATAACACCACCCATCCTTGTCAAACAAGCCATACAGAGTTTGTGCTTTGATAACCATTTGTTGCCGGGTTACCCCGCGCGCCGTGTTTGCACTGCACGCCAGCTCTGGCGACCGCGACGGTGACGTGAACAGATGAATACCTGCGTCGGAACACAACACACCCGAGTTAAGAGCCCCAAGTAGCAATGTTTTCCTCTTGTAATCAGATAATTGATATTGATTAGTTTAGTTTGTAGCCGCAGTACCCAATGGCAACGGATTATTACCGGCCATATACCGCCTCCGTGAGTAATCTCGTTTCTTACTGGGGAAAGTTTTGGCGTGGAAAGTGGTGTACTTTGTTCTCATGTCAAGCGTGTAATTGGGGGGGCTAATGTGGCAATACTTAGATCCTTAATGTATCTTATTGTGAGGGTTATTAACGTGAGAGTATGATGTTTGGCCATGGGAAGAACTTAGACTAAAACTGTGCCCCAATGGCTGTAGACTACTACAGACCCTGGACTTCTTCTGTAAGTATGGTTTTAAAAAATGTGCAATAATCGTTGTAATATTTCATTCCTAAATTCCTAACTGAATCTAATACAGTGGTAAAATCATAGGTCCAGGTAATTATTATAATTATATAATAGCAAATGATATATAATGTAAAACAGACTAAATTGTTGATTTTAGAAGGAGGCATTTGTGATCGATGTTTAGCATATATTTCCATGGTATTAATTGCTGGCAGTAGTTTTGACTTAATGTCATCAAAATGATAAATGAGAGTGGTAGGCACAGACAACAATACATGTAGCTTAGATTAATTCGTGCTAGTTTGGAAAGTTCAGCTTTAATAATTAATCTTGTAATCATCAACTTATCAAAGGTCAGATGTATGCCGTGAAAGATTTGATGGATACCATGCACATATATAATATTGTTGATAGTATACTAATTCTAGAGGTGGTAATCATTATGTAGTTAGCATTTCTCAAAATTTGTACTTAGTCTAGAATATGTAATCAGCTCTCAATATCAGTTGCAGGCCTCATGCTATCTTTTTCTGCCATTTCCTGCACTTGCAGGCTTTAAGGCAGAGTTGATTCCTGATAATGGTGTTTGAGGAATAGTAGTACAGTCTATACTACACACTTTGTGACCTGACAGCCTTTTAGATTATTGTTACATCTTGACAACAGGTCAATTTTGTGAGGCTCTGAAATACATGCATATGTGGGCTGCAAAACAGTTTCTATCACACAAATCCTGGCATCAGGACAATCTTTCTTCCTTGTGTATTTTCTTTTTAATGGCTATAATGGGTTAAAAACAGTAAGTTCCACTCTTTTAGAAGGGTTTATCTCCAAGCAGATCCTAAGGTGGTGAGGCAGTATCCAATTCACCAAGCAGCCAGTCTATTTAAGTCCTAAGTACTGCTTGGTGAATTGGATAACATCATTTCACATGACCCATATGGCATATAAAAGCTCTCACTCTTTGTACCATCATGATGGTAATCATTATTACCATGAATTTTGTAAAATGTGCTTAGGACTTTAAAAAAAATGATGTAAATTTAATATTATTACCTCCTTCCTCATGACTTCAATGAAAAGCAGCCTGCAGGGCAATTTGAGCTTGTCAAGAATAAAGAATGGTTCAAACAAACAAACAAACAAACAAACAAACATGTTTTTCTTCCCTCCTCCGCAGCCGTTGAAGGATGGGGAGTGGCCAGGAATGGACGCGGTACAGGACGTTCTACCAGAGTACATCTCAGAGACGACACAACCCCCGCCACGCAGGCCCCCCAAGGACGGTCTGCGTCAGTCTTACCAGCCTGACGACCCCTACTCTCACTCACTACTGGAGCATCAGTCTAAGGTGGGACAGGAATCTGCTGAATAGGATTACTTTAAAGGATACATTTTGTAGGAAATATTCAAAGACTAATCAAACACTACTACTGGATAAATTATGGAGATTACTTCCAGACATTTTGAGTGACTCATCGGTCACCCATTTTAGCATCACTAAATGAACTGAATTTCTTGAGAAAATTTCTTGAATGTGTTTGAAAGGAACAGCAGACTTGACAGCAAAATGATGAGATTTGTATAGAAAGAAAGAAAGAAAGATTGAAATTAGGTTTTACAAGTCTGAGGTTGGAGTACTTGTATGAGATAATCGTAAAAATAATGAACTCATATGGATGTAACTTATAAAAATTACTTTAATTCTTACTTAACATTCCACAGTGTTTGGGGGACTCCCTTTGTAGGTAGTGGGATAATCCATACTCAGTCTGATAGTTTCAGTTTCAGATGTATTTATTAAGTGTTAGGGTAATAGCAGACTGATAATCTTCATAGGTGATAATCTATATAGTGTTCAAATAGGGAAATACATCAAAGAATGTTTAAATCTTAGACACTGCACGTATTCTGTACATAGTTTGCCACTTACATAAATGTACACTCTGTTTGTAGGATGACTTTCTTCATACATGTATTTAGTTTGATACCCAGGCTACTTAGTTGTTACGGTAGTAGACCATACAAAAGTCCCAGACCTGTACTTTTGTCGAGTCAATAGAGAACCATAATTGATTTTGCAACTTAAGAACAACAATCAGGGCTTCATTTCCACCATTCCCCCTACAGGAGCTGGATAACTACCGTGCAGCGCTGAAGCGGATGGGTGCAGACATCCTGAAGCTGCGTGAGGACATCGCTCGACTGGAGGCAGAGAACAGCCAGCTCAGGAGGAACCTGCACATGAACAGGGACGCTGCCGACGCACTGGTGGGGCCTGCCGGGCTACAGGCACTCAGCAGGGGGGATCTCGTGGATAAATATGGTGAGGAGCTGATGCTATGGTAAAACTAGAAAGGCCGACATTTGCTTTAAAGCAAATGTAGCGGATGGCTACACCACATTTTACGACTTGGCAGGGAAAGTAGGAGAAACACAAGGAAAACAATTCTTTACATTGATATAACTAATAGTATGAAGTGACAACAGTTGGATGTCTATCCCCTACATTATTGCTTAGGATTTTTAATTGCACACATAGTGGTGAAGCCATAAATTTAAATACTTGTAGATGTTTGAGTTTTGAAATGGAAGTAAGTCTACCTCCGTGATCATGACTTCTGATTCAGTGTTTAAGAGACCACAGATGCATTGTGTTTTCATTTTGTGAGTAAATTTACATTTTTGAATGGATCAAATCAACACTTCTGATTGGATTGGATCAATCAGCTGCTGGAGTCTTCTTCAGAAGTTGAACTTGTAAGAAATAATTATTTTGTAGCAATGATTTAAAAAAGTTAATGCATACAAGTCATGTAGATATTTGCTCTCACCCTGACTTCCTGACTTCGCTCTCACCCTGACTTCCTGACTTCAACGTTACATGCATAACTTGAGTTGAGTAATAACAATAGATGGCCCTTCTACATTGCATGGGAAAGTTTGATGATTTCCTCTGTCTGCAGCCCTGTTACAGCAGAAGGTGAGCCAACAGGCCTCCTCCATCAAGGGGCAGAAAGAACGGATACAACAACTGCAGAACGAACTTATCAAGGTACAGAACCCATTTTCATGGCATGACTTGTACATGTACATGTCAGATCATTCTGTTTTGCTTTGAAGTTTTCTTTAGTTTCCATTTACTATTACCTCTAATAGTACTGATCTTTGAACATTTTTTACCATGGGTAAATTAAATACCGTTAAATATCTGCCATGAATTTGTCCCGAACCTCCATGTAAATACACTTCCTGCATTTTTTCCTCTATTCCATCTCTTCTTTGTTTTACTTTCCTTGCATTATACTCAAATGCTCCCTCCTTTGTTATATTCCTGGCAACCTTAACACCTTGGATAATCTTGTTACTTGTTCTTGTCCAGAAAAATGACCGTGAGGCAGAGTTGTTAAAGCAGCAGAAAGCACAGAAGCCCCAGCAGCCTGTCGCACCTAAAGTACCTGAGAACGATGGCAAGAAGAAGAAGATGGAAGATACTATTAAAAGACAAGAGGAGGTATCAAGGACTTTTGTTTTTTTCTGATTTAAGACTCAGACTAAGTCTTTATGAAGCAAGTTTAAAGTATTCGAACACAAAAAAATGGACTTATTGCATCTTCATAATGTAACATCACAGAAGCAGTGGATTGCTCATCCCTAGGACTGGGGTTGTTCCGTCAAAAATTTGCAGAAGTCCAACTTTTTGTGTTGGAAATTACAGTTTAAACTTGCTTTGCATATAATGACTTCTACCAACACAGAGTATGATGAACCTTCAAGATAACTGTTTGTTTGTTAAATTTGTTTGTTGTTAAATTTAGATTGAGAATTATATGAAGAAAATGCTGGTATATGATTGCATTAAAGTTTTCCCAACTATTGAATCTGACATAGCCTCATGTTTGTTTAAACTTTCTTTCCAGGTTATAGAGAAGATGGAAAAGCTTCTGAATAAACAGTTAGAGAAGGGAACTCTGCCAGCAGACAGGAGTCTGGAGGCACATTCTGCACTGGCTGCAGAGAACGCACGACTCAGGGACGAACTCAACAGGGCTAAGGTACAACATGGAGCCCAAAAACACTTGTGATGGCTACTTGAATGAATTCAATAAATTGTAGGAAGTTAATAAGTTAAGTTAATAATTTAATAATTATTGTTATAAGTTGTCATGCACCAAAAATAAAAAAAATCTGAAGATTTTCTGCAAAATCTGAAGATTGTTTCAATTCAAAGAACCTGAAGATTTTTTCAAAAATCTGAAGATCTTTCCAAAGAATCTGAAGATTTTTCCAGAGAATCTGAAGATTTTTCCAAAGAATCTGAAGATTTTTCCAACGAATCTGAAGATTTTTCCAACAAATCTGAAGATATTTCCAAAGAATCTGAAGATGTTCTAAAAAAATCTGAAGATTTTTCCAAACAATCTGAAGATGTTCTCAAAGAATCTGAAGATTTTTCCAAAGAATCTGAAGATTTTTCCAAAGAGTCTGAAGATTTTTCCAAAGAATTTGAAGATGTTTTCACATAATTTAAACATTGTTCTGAGATTGGTTTGAAACATTGTAATCTTGAAATGTTGGAACCTTTAATATTGATTATCGTAGAAATTAATCAGAAAGGTTTTATTGCTGTGTGAGGTTTGACTTAAGACAAATTGTATGATATCCCTTCCAATAAAGAACAAAAAGCGATCTATCAAGATTGCACATGTCACACACACACAAACATATTTATATAAAAGCCTTGTATTTTTCTGTGTAAGCAACTGTTTCTTAAGGCATTTTCCTCCATGCAGGCAGGAAGCAACATTAGTATATAGAGGGTTGTCATAAGTCCATTTTGACCCATGTTCCCAGGAGCCTCCCCAGCCTCACTACCCTCCTGGTGTGAAGATGGATGATGAGGAGAGGCTGGACCTGATGGCAAAACTGGAGAAGGCAGAGGGGAGAATCATTTCACTGGAGAACCAGGTAGGGGAGCATACATTGTACATCAATCTAAGGGGGGCTGCAAAGGGGGGTCCCCGACAACGCTCTACGCTTAATTCGGAAACCTCTCGATTACGCTTTACGATAAATTGCAATAAAGTGACTACAACGCTTTACGTGAAATTAAAACGGCGAATACGCTCTACACAAAATGCGTCAACTACGATCTACGTTGAATTCGAACGTTCCGTCTACGCTCTACGTAGAATTAAAACGTCCGATTACGCTCTACGGAAAAGGGCTTGCGGGCCCCCATCTAGGGGAAGATCATATCACTGGAAAACCAAATTCTTCCTGCTCAGATTTTGGTCAGCTAAAATTCTATACCAATTCAAATATTGCTTAGTCAGCAGTGTTGTTTTGAGTTTTTAGGATCTCAGAATAGTGAGAAAGCAAGATGTATCATGATACTTACATGTATCACCATGCAGGAACTGACAAATGTTACTGCATGCAAACATAAATGTTTGCTTCTGTACTTATGCACAATTCTGACAGTCATTATTATTAACTGTCCGCAGTTGACAGAAAATGCCCGCATGTGGGGTCGGGAGAAGCAGGAGCTTCTGATCCGGATGAACGAGCGGGAGAACGGTTTCGCGCGGTCGTCACAGATGGTTCTTCATGACTTCCCCATGTCCATGGTGAGATAGGTTTAAGATATTCTCCATCAAGCTTGTTTTTATCCTGCATCAAAGGCATTCTCAATACTATTATCATTAGCCAAGTTTAATGCCAAACCTATTTGAATTCTAGGTTTTTATCCTCTCTGCTATATGTGGAGAGGATAAAAACATGGGTAACCTACCATCAGGTTGTCATATTTTTGTTCAACTTACCAAGTGGGAAATCCTATTAAATCTATTGTAACAAGAAGGTGATTAGGTGACCAAACTTAAGTTTACATCCATGAAAATTTCTTGAAATATTTGTTGAAATATGGATGGTTCATATTTCTGCAAACCAGATGTTCTATATGATGAAAGGCTTTTCTTATTTTCTTGCAGGGAGCAACAGTTAATGGCAGACTGGGATCACCAAAGTTGGATCCAATTAAATAAATTGACAGACATTCACATGACTGCAGCTTCTCTAAAAAGTTGAATACCCTGTAAAATTATTTTACATACAGTGACTGTCTTTGTATGAATGAAAAGTATATGTCTATAAAATGTGTATGTCCCTGTATTTAGATAGTATATGCAAAATTAATGTTCCCAAGCTACAACTAGCAATTATGCAACTCATCAGTGATGTTAATATAAAATGTAAAATGTTATAATAGATATGATTTATGGCAGGGATGAAACAAAGATATTATGAAAAGTTGTGTACAGAATTCTGCCGTTAGAGCATGTGTTGCAAAGTAACATATCATTCCAATGTATATTATTTTTGAATAGATAATATTAGTTCTCCTGAAGCAAATATACATAATGTTGTACAGATACATGTATGTTACAAAGAATCTAAAAACTTTTAGAAATTGTGAGCTTTTTTGACAAACCTTTGGTAAGGTGATGCAGGTTTTTGTTTCATTTATGCTTTCCTGTTGTTTTAGTTTAGAGAAATACATTGTATAAATTTGGTATGTATATGATGTTATAGTACAATAAGAGTACTATATTTCTCAGTTTGAACTGCAATAAATAAAAACAGGACCACAGTTTGTTGTGATTGGCTTTTCTGGATAGGGCAGTGCAGATAGTACCGTCAAAGTATGCTCAAATAGTACGTAACCATGATCTTATAAAAGGTGGAAATAAACAAGAAACTAGACTAAAAAGACTAAAAGCCCTGAGTGGACGGTTTAGTCACCCAACATCTGCTTGGAGATTAGACAGCCCCAAGGTCAAACATGGCGGGAATATAACATCATGGTGTTAGCCAGAAGGAAGTCATTCTAGCTCCGGATCCTGGTTTTAATAGAGCCGCAAAGAGAGTCCACGCAATCCATGATTGAACTGGATATCAGGCTGTGATGAAGTTATACAAGTTTATATACAGCTTACAAGTTATCAAGGTGAAGTGCATGGATTAAGAGTGATCTCTAGCAGTTCGGTGAAGTACTGCACCATAAATGTTAGCTATTAAGCTACGAGGCGTTTTTGATCCATGGGGATTTGTACACCAAGTCCCTCATAATGTCAGATTGGCTAAGTAGTAGTGACATGTTTCCCTTAATTGGCAATGATGACAATGGACAGTTTTTAAAGAAAAGAACTTGACCGAGGAAATGTGTCAGAAATATAAAAGCTGGATTTCATTCTGTCTAGAAAAAGTAAGAGGTTGGCTTGATAGCTAAAATTCTTCCCAACAAAAACATTGCACTTGGTACTGTCCATCATTTTGCTAAATTGTCCACTAGGTTAATAGGAAATGCCCTTCATTGTTCCGGATACTCTGTGTTTTAAACTGCCATGTCACTGTTAGCCTTACCTGGGCCACTCGGCATGAATGAGATGCAGGTAAGGCATTTTAGGCTTAGTAATAGTATGTTTTCCTTTTTCTTGACACAGGTTGTAAGACATACACATGACTTTGTATAATAATCTAATTACCAGTATGAGTGTGAAACTATAGAAGTTAATGTTGACATGGAAATTAAACTTAATAAAATTTAATGCTTTCTGTTGGGTGTTTTAGAGCAGCCTACCTGTATCTGGATTTCTCTGAAGATTTCGTTCTTTTTTTTTCCTTTTTTAGGTTGACTGTACAATCTGCTGGCTGAAATGGGACCCAGTCTTGATCAGGTCAGAGTTCTGCTCATTATATATCTAAAATCTCTGTAATTCACTTTCAAATTGTCTTCATAGTTGCAATATTTTACAGTCTGAGGAAAATGGGCATGACTATGCATATACATTGCAGTTGGCAACCAGGATTATTCATTTAACAGAAAGGTACATTTACCACATGTTGCCCATTTGACATAACAGTACCAGATATATCTGTATATTCCTATAGGATGGAGGACCTGTTTGCCGTCCTGCGTGACCGGTTCCTGAGTTTTAAGACGCCGCCGCTAGCCCGGCACAGACTCCTGCAGCTGATTGAGCTGCGGTCGGGCGGCTGGGAGATGGAGCCTGGGATACTAGACTACTACAGCAGGTCTGGCAAGGAGCTGAGAGGATGATCATGAGGGGAGGTAGGCAAATCTGTTCCAAGATTTCTACCCAAATAAGATGATAGTTTTATTATTGTTGGAAAATGTTTTATTTCAGAAATAGAAATGGACACTTTCAAACACAGCAAAACAAAATTGTAGCAAAAAAATGTTCTCAGTCTTACGTTATACACAATGTTTCTCACTTAAAACTTGCCTGGGTTTTATTTTTCGTAGTGGATTAGGAAAAGGAGTGCAGTATTTTCATAGTGTTTCCAGTCTATTAGTTTACAATACTGGTATATTATAATTTTATAAAATAAACCACAAAGTAGGTAAATCCCCCAAATCTTTTGATATCTTGCTGGTTAATCCAGTCTGCTACAATATCCATCTTGGTTATCCGTTGCTATGTCCAGACTACTACACAACTTCAACATTAAACACTGGTCACTTTAAATTTGGAAAAGACACCAACAATTGGAAAATCAAGCAGTGTAAACTGTAAACCCTTATGTGTGGTATCAATCTAAAGCTCTCATCATCAGGCACTCTTCATGTGAAAATCAATGATCAGTGATGTTTATAACTCCAGTTATGATTGATTGAAAATGCTTGTGGCCTACCAGGCTGAGATCTTGGCCTACTAGTCTGAACTATGTGGCCTGGACGGCCAGATTCTGTGCCCACTGTGCTTAACTCCCAGGGCTACCAGTCTGACCTACTTAGGCTAGATGGCCGTGAAGGCCTAAATCAACCCAGACTACTAGTCCTGTTCTGGACTGGTAGGCTGCAGGGATAGGGTGTCCTGGCGTGTAACCTGCAATTTTCCATCTGTCCACTAGGGCTACCTGATAATCTAGACTACCAGTCTGAAAGTTCAGCCTGACAGGGCCAGAACCAGAACCACTGGGCTGAGCCTTCAAACACGTACACACACACCAGGCATATGCACATGATGTAGAATGTCTGTGTGCTTATACCAGATTGTAGTTAAGTTCTACAGTGTCCTGTTTAGAGTTTACTTAATATGCAATTTTGCCACAGAAAATTAGTTACTGTATACTGTAACAACTGCAATATTCTTCTGCTTGCAAGTCGTCAGCATTTAGAAATCACGATTTGTGAACTCTTACATTAGATTCAAACAAGTGAGCGTGCAAACGTATATCAGGGTGGAGAGATACATGTACAGTACATGTCATTTTAATTTAGTGGATTGGGCACGTACACTATGTGGTGTCCATGAGGATGATTTGCTACATGCCCTTGACCCAATGGCAGTCCCTCCACCCCCAAAATCTGCTTTTCTCACCAACACATTCCACAAGAAGGTGCACTCAAAGAGTGACAGGGAAAAATGCACCTTTTCACAAGGGAAATCATGGATCATGCCAAGAATGGTGGGCATCTCTGTGACTGTACCATCCAACTGAGAAAACACAATTAGTTCTGCTGGTATCACATGTACCCTGGGCGGGAAAGTTTGAGCTGGGAATCTTGCTGTTTTTGACCAACAAGACCTGGCGGTGTCTACCCAGTGCTCAGACTGCTTGTATGATTGGGTAATTGCAACATACACAAATAAATGTCTTAATGTGTAAAAAAAATGGTATAGGGCAGCTGAGTGAGCTAATTCTACAGTGTATTGACTTGAGCCCTTTCCCACATGCTGGGACATGATGGAATCAAGAGTTGCAATCGTATAGAAGAAAAAGGACACTATTAAAATAAATTAAGCTAGAGATCTAAATTTAATCAACAGTCTTTGAAGAAATAGTCCTGAACTTCAATGATTAAATTAGAAAGTCCAGCATTGATAACTGAGCAGTTCAGAACATTGACTTATTTTGGTATCAATTTGAAAGAATATACAAGTACATGTACAGTCAATTTACTCTAAATTTTACTGATCATTTTGATTTCTAAAATTTTTAATTTTTGTGCTTCCAAGACTGACAAATAGAGATTGATCTTTGGAATTCTGGACAGACATCAAGGCAAGTTACAATTGTAAAACCAGAACTTGGAAACTGAATGAAGTAACGTTACATGTAATATTAGACTTTCCTAAAAAAAGAGACCAAAGTGAGACAGAATGGAAGAAGGATATGCAGATTGAAAGAAAAGACTGTGCTCCAGCTTTACCCAACTCCAGTGTGGTTTGAAAAGGCAGCAGTGACCTAGATATGTCAATGGTCTGTGACAGGTAGTCCCTACAGTAAATCCCTCAAGGAGACCTGATCTCCTGCCTTAGAGATATTTGGACTTTTCTCCTGGTTCCAAAGAATTTTATTTCATTTTTCACAGATAGAAGTTATAACACAAGGAGTTGGCGCTGAATGGCAGCCGCTCCAGACCCTTGCGATTAAGCCCCAAATAATTGTAAGCTCCTTTTTCAATGCCTTCTTTTCCTACTGTCTAAGATAAATTCAACACAAAGGGCCTCTTTGGAGCTATCTTTACAATATGTACTACTACCATTTTTCTGTTGCTTGCATGTACATTGTACATGTATACAGGATATTCTAACTCCCATCTGGGCAGCTCACTCAGTCACTGTCATACCAAATCAACCAAGCCTGTTCAAGACTTGTGTATCACTCATCACTGCCTATAATAGTCAACCACTGTCTCAAACCAAACGCCCATGTGGCACCTTGCTGCTGTCTTGGTCTTGGGGGTTAAGGTAGCCAACATCAACTTGCTGATGATTCTGCTACACTGTACATAGTATTTGGGCTGTAGAATTTTTTGGACCATCGCACACCGGGGCATGCTCCTACTCTTTTTCGAAAGGTGTGGTGGGATCTTTAACGTGCTTGAGGTGTGGCTCTCCTCAAACACGGGACCTCCAGTTTACGTCCTATCCGAGGGACGTCCCTAACCGAAGCTACATGTAGGTACTACTCATTTACACCAAAGATAAGTGTAACTATTTTTTGAGGCTACTGAGAGAGTTTTCTGCTGCCGAAAACTCAACCATAACGTTGGGCGTCCAAACCGACATTTTGGCGGCGGCGGCCTGCGCAACCCTTCCCATG